GAATGTCATTTTGGAGTCTGTCTGTTTTTGTGTAAATTTGTATATAAAGGCACTGATGGATCGTACCAATGAAGCCCAACTGGGAGAACTCCAGGATCATCCAGTCCTCTGACGACAGCTGCAGAGCAAAGTTCTTCATGGTGGCAAAGTAGTTGGGTTTGGCCACGATGTCGTCCTCCAGCTACAAGAGCGGAAAGTGGGCAAGAACAAAGTGTTACTTACACATTCAACTCAACTCAAGTTTCCTGTAAAGTTTACATGAGGACGAGACTACACAGGACTACAGAGCGCTGCCAGGGAACTAAACTAATCCACGGTCTGAGAGCCAATACCTCTTGACTCCAGTTGAGAGCAAAAACAAATTGACACACAGATGGAAGATTTTAAAAAAAGGCAGTTATAGTAAAGCACAAATGGTTCGTGTTTGTATTTTACAGCAGTTGAGAGCATAACATAATATAATTGACAGATTGAGGAGCACAAGGATTAGAGCCGAGGAGCCGGAGGGCAGAAAGAAACAGTCAGGGTTTAGCCGTGTATCAGGTTATATAAGATGACTTCTGAGGAAAAACAGAACAAGATGGTATGGATGCGGATAAAATTACATATTTTAAAGACTAACCTGGACGTAGTAAACACCTTTGTTCACAGCATACATCATGAGGAAGGAGTAGTCCAGATTCTGCTTAGTTCTCCATCTGAACAGACAAGAGAACAGGTTTGGTATATTAATATTATAAACATCAAATTCCAGACAGACCAGATCTGGATCCATGTCTAAGTTTATGCTGCGGCTTACACAAGCATCATTTGACTGTGCTTGGATTTTAACTGATGTAGCTATTCCAGCAACCAAGGAACTGCTGTAGTCGTCTAGAAAACATCAATCCAAACTCCAGTTGCTGAAAAATGTGTCCCAATTCATCAGATTGACAAACACAGTCACAAATTGCACCTCAGGTTTGCCTGGACACGTACAGGCTACACACAGGCAACTATCCAAATTTCCCCAGAATGCACAGCGGGCCTGTTGTGTCTACGCCGTAGGCCAAATTTCACAATCTGGATCTCGTTGAATTTGAATTCATTAACCATGTTCTGCTGAAAAGGACCTCAAATCGCACATCTAACCAGTGTGATGAATGCTAAATGACATGGTTACAGACGGAAGCTGCCAATCACATTCTCCGAGTCTGTGCTTCCGACTGACTCACTGCTGCAGGTGTTCTCGACGCCTTCAGAAGACAGGTGTGAAAACAAGGATTTCACAAGAGGCAAAATCACCTACACACACACGCCAACAAAGACACAAAGAACGACTAATGTTTCAGTTGACATCATCGTTCATCAGAGTTCCACTGCTGCAGCGGTTGCAGCACTAAGGAGAGAACGAATCAAACGTCACCACTGAGTATGTGTGCTCTTAACAAGGTATTTACAGCCCAGAGTAATATGTGTTCAAACACGCCCGCACACCACACAAAAATGATAATACCATAGTCCTCTGGGTCTAAAAGGCCCAGGTACAATTACCTAAGCAGGTAGTGCAGGTAGTCAGCACAACGTGTTCCTTGAACACATTTCTAATGAGGCTAGTGGTTAGCCAGCAAAGCTACAGCACAGAAGATAATCAGAGTGGGCACAGCGGAGAGGCAGAGATAGAGGCCGCCTTTGCCGATGACCTTGATCTGACTTTGAAGGATGCCAGTGGAATATTAAGTACGCAGGCAGCCTCTGTAAAGGCTTGTTTATTCACACCTCCAGTCCCCACTGACTCATCCTTCTAGTTTTCCCTGAATTTCATTCTTAACAAAGGCAACATCATAATGACAACAAAGCATTTAAATACCTTAAATATCTGCTAAGGCAGAAGTGAGACAACACTTACTTGACTCTCTCTTTGGAGTCTCCAAAAGTCTCCTTCAGGTTGTGGAGTTCAGGGTAATAGGCACTAGGTGGAGAGATCACCTCCAGCAGACCTGAGCCCAGCTCTGTTGAAAACCTGAGGGGAGAGGTTCATGAATCATGTCAGTGCAGTGACGTGAATTCATAGATTTATTTTTCTCAGTCACTTATCGAAACACAATCAAAAACAGGGATTAGGGTCTGGTCACTTCTGGAGCAAAATCCTAAAGTAAAATAAATAATAAACTTGTTCTCCAAAGGCAAAATATATAAGGTGTGAATGCACATGAACATTTTACTCCAGGCACAAGGCATTTCACTGACCAACCAGTCAGCCTGTCTTAAATATGTGTTCTTGCTGTACAGTACAGTACACTCACTCTTTCTCCAGTCCAGCAACAACGATGTGAACATAGTCCAGATCAGTCTGTGGAGATACACAGGTTAGACACAAAAGGTGAAACTTTTCTTCATGTTTTGAACCAGCATGATGCTATGACTCATACTGTCGTCGCTGAGATCTCACCTCTCCGATATAGACGATAATGACACAGTCGAGCTTCTCCTCCGCTGACAGCTTATCTATAAGCGAATGCAGCGTCTCTGACAGATATGACTTCACCTTCCTCTTCACTGTGGGAATTCCCATCACCATTGTAACTAGGAAGGAGATAAAAGGGTCGGATATTTATTCAAGTGGAACCAAAACCAAATAGTCTGTTGCTGGTCACCAAAGTTACGCAAGACAAAAGCAGAGATTTACTGACCGACAGAGAGCAGTGAGAGGCTGGGTTTAAAGGCCTGAGTGCTGGTGTTTTCAAGGAAATACTGTGGAACGATGTTATACAACTACCTCACTCATTATGATTGGTGCTGCTGTCACAGAATGTAGAGCGTTCAATACAGGCTGCACAAACCAATCTCTCCTGGAACAGCATACCGAGGACAGTCTTCAACTGTTTTGGTCATTTCTTCTCTAATTTTAGCTACTTCTGGGCTAAAACACATCATCATCTACAGATACACTTTACCTTTTCACACTGAAATTAGATTCATGTCACATTTTATGGCTTCATGTTAGTAATTTCTAGTAGTCTAAGTAACTATTGGTAACTACGAGTTGTTTGTGCAAATTCTGGGATAACCATTAGCGATTATTCACAAACCATAGCTTTAGGGCTGAAGCTATTTTTAATTTTTCTAGATAACATTTTCAGTTGGTTGTAGATACATTTAGACACATACGTTCATATTAAACTGCATCAAATCAATCAGATTACAAATGATAATGTTAATTATATACAGGCTTTTTCAATCAATGTTTCCGAACATTTTTAAAATATTCCACACACAACAATAAAATTGAAAAATAAATAAATAACATTTAAATGTGAAAATCCCCATCAGATTCAAGATTAGGATTCTAAAATAGGGAACCTACATTACAGCTTTATACGACTATAAATGCGATTTCATTCAAATCTGTCGAATATGTCAAATCGCCTGGACCGCAGAGCAAACGTAGCATTCAGCTGATCTTCAGCTGTCGATAACTGTGGCACTAAGAAAACGCTTGTTAGAGGAAAAGAGAGCGTCCATTGTCATCGCCTTATCGCTATTGTATGAGCCTTGGAGGAGCCGAACAGACAGCTCTTCTTCTATGCTATGCGAGGATGAGGAAGTACAATACACTTGTACCAACAGCAGCCCAGTTGATTTGTGAGCTGGCCAACACAAGAATGACTTTCACCAGAAAAGAGTGGGACGGAAAGAGAAAGGCAGCACATAAAGAACTGAGAAACACAAATGTGAGAAGGAACAGAACAGCTTTTTGGCAGTCAGTCTGCGTTTCCTTCTCGATAAGGAAGAAAGTCCAGACAGCAGCATGAAATTGCCTGTTAGCTTGTTTTCTTGCTTTTCTCAAGTTTACTTCCACTACTATAGGTTTACTGAGTTTTGTTTTCTGTCCTTGGGAAAGTTAGAAACAACCCACCCTATAGGGGAAAGTAAGTAATGATAGTGAAACACATGGAGTAAAGCTAATGAGAGAATCTCTCTGTGAGTGTGTGTGTGTGTGTGTGTGTGTGTGTGTGTGTATGCAGCTTTAAAGGGGAATAGTGCTGACTGAAAGGATGTGGAGGCACAAGGGGCCTTGACTAAGGCAGAAAACAAACTTGAGGTGCAGGTTGAGCGAGCAGCAGCATCGGGTGAAAAAGAGAAAAACAGAAAGAGGGGGAGAGAGAGAGAGAGAGAATGTGTGTGTGTAAGCTCCTGGAGTGATCCGTGCAGCGTGGAGAATCTGTCCCACTTCTGTTTTGTGTTCCTCACATTGAGCTACATCTCGTATAGCGACACCCACCACCACCACCGCCGCTGCAGGGAAAGTAGGTCGAGGATGAAAGGAAAGTGTGGGAGGAAGAAGAGGAGATGGAGAGTGACAGAATAAGGGAGGCAGCCGCAGACGGTGAATGATGGATAATGCATGTATGAGGGCAGCGGGAGCAGGAGCAACTGCACCACTGCCCCTCCCCGTGTTCCCTTCATGGGCCTGCCCGCTTCACTTTGTCATCCTTTCATCTTCTGAAGAGGAAAAGAAAAAACTGGACTGGTGGACGGATCTGATTTGACATTCCATGAAAATAAAAGGAGCTAGTGTTCATCTGTGTCTGTGAGCTCTCTGTGTCCTACAGAATACGTCCAGCTGTTTGTCCTGCTGGACACACGTTTGAGGTCAAGGTTGGTGTCAGGGCTAGAAATGACATCAATAAAATCAAACAACTGAACAGAACCCGGGACACAGGGATACAATACAAGTACACAAATAACACTGGTGTTAAGACAACAACCCATGTTATTAAAAATAATGGTTGAAAACATGTTTGTAATGTGGTGTGATAACGTTGTCAGGTTTTCAAAAATATGTTTCTACTTTAAAAAAACCAATACATTGTCAGAGTCACACTTGAAGCCTGTCTATTACTTTAGCCAACAATGACCCATATTCAAAGTTGTGTCCAAAACTGGAACAGTAAGATTTGCATCACTGCACAAGCACAAAAGTCCGTGATATAAACCGACATGAGTGAACGGAATTCAGTTGAACAGGAATAAAGGATGAACAACCTGTGGAACTCTGTGAAGATTTAAAAACAATACAGCCCATATTTACCATTTTCGTGTTGTGTTTGTCTTTCTCTCAAACACGATATTCGTGTAGTTAGTACAAGATCTCTCAGCTAAGCGTCTTGTGAGCAGAAAATAAGCCACCAATTAAAATGGTGAGATGAGATGAGCTCCATTCAACAAACTGCTGCAAATCAAATGTTTTGAGACACAATTCTAAGACACACATCTCATCCAACATGACGACATTGTGCCATGAATGCAGAAACCACTCAGGGCTGTCTGCTCACTTCTGTCGCAGTCCGTCTGCTTAGAAAGTGTCAAACTCATGGATTTCTTTGTCCTGCTGTCCTCAGCGTTAATCCCTGAACTTCCTGAGATTGTAAACAGTCAAATGGATGAGGTATGAAAGAGGACAAACACACTGCTGGTTCAAGTTAAGGTCCTGTTTTTTTTCTTTTTGTTGACTCTTTTTACTTTCTTTCTTGCAGCACAAAGAAACCAAGGAAAAGGATATTGGTGAATGGCTTGAGTGTTTTAAAGCAGTCAAAAGGAACCTGAGATCCTTTAAGGAGCTGCTGGGCAGAAAAAAACAAATGTCTGACGTAAAAAAAAAAAAGAATTCTCAGATTACCTGACTGTAAATTATCATTTAGTAGTGAAGGTGAGAACCCGGTGTCGTTTGTCTTTATTTACATGCATCAGCCTCTGTAATAAGGCCAACTCTCTGTCCTCTAACTCAATGTCAGCAGGTACAGCTCCACACGGCACATATCAAATGGAGCTGGGTTGGAGCTAATGGACACCAGTTTTATTTACACTGTGTGTGCACAGCACAGTTCAGATAGGAGTAAAATCCAGAGCTAGAATTATTCAAATAAAATATTACAAAACCTAGACCACTTGACCATGGCCTGTGAAAGGTCTTTCTTAAATATGTTTCAAGTGCATCCTTGGAGCATTTTGAGGAAAAAAAAACCTAATCACATGTTGGGAATTGCCCTTTAGTTCTCTTTGCCGTCTCTACAGCGCAAAATTAAATAAATGCTCTGCTAAATCTTTGGGATACGATTTGAAAGTGTGATTTATTTCCAACTGCTGCACTACAGTATATCTGTGTGAATGCAAATGAATATACAGCAGTATATGTTTATAACATCTAGAAAAGTATTCTTAATGCTTCCTTTTAAGAAGTGTATTGCTAAGAGTATAATGCTTTGTTTACCTGTAACTCATCAATGCATTTCATTTGTTTAGTGTTAAGGGACTGGAACACATTGATTATTGATGCAAAAATGACTTACCAATATCCTGGTAGCCACTGAAAGTCACCATAATGCTAACATCAAGGGCAATTCCCAGAATCCTCAGGGTATTACACACTGGTCCCTGTACTGCCTGACCTTGCACTAGTGAAATCCATTTAAACCAAGCCTGACATTGGTTTTATCAGGCAGGTAAAAAACAATACATTTATAACATCTCGTTACTCAAGCGTTGGGTTCAATCATTTCCATCTGTACCATGATGATCAATGACCAGTGACAGTCCTCATCAACTGTCCTTCCAAATTCACGACCAGCATCAACTTACTTGCAATTACAGAGAGAGGACTATTATAGGGATTGGGTTTTTAATAGCAATACCCGCTGAGTGGTGGATATGCTGTAGACAGTGGTCTCGCATTTAGACAATGACTAAATAAACCCAAGTGCAATATCAACAGGATGCGGTCATCATGTCTGATCATTAGTCAAAGTGCATCTGTGGTTGATTTGCCACCACACACAGCTTTTTTGAGAAATCCACTGCAGTCTGTGTTTGAAAATGAGCTCTTGTCCTTCTGCCACTGAAACAGATATTTCAGTATAACTCAAACATTTCTATATTGCAACCCATGCCAAAAAGTGAGACTAAAAAAAAAGGTACTGTCAGGTATTGGTCTCAAAAAGTGAGACTAAAAAAAAAGGTACTGGTATTGGTCTACAGACACCTACGGCCTTGCAGATGCTGTGAGAGGATATTTTTATCATTGCACAGGCAGTGACTACCAGAGCACACATGAACCTGCGGGAGTTCACGGTCCTAAACAAGTGTTAATAGTCATGTGAGGTTTTTGGCAAAGACAAAAGAAGCAGAAGCTGCTGCATAGCAGAGCACAAACATGTTTACTATCGTCACAGTAAGAAGGAGTCGCAAAACTGATTTGCAATGCTTTGCAAAATATATATATATATATATATAATAGATCTGCCACGCCTCCAAAAGGCTCAGACAAATGAATTTGGCTAAAACAAAGTAGCGACTGTGCAAAAAGGGCACAAAAATGGAAGGAAAAGCTGAAGGCCATGTGTCTGGAAACAAAGACGACCACAGCAAATAATGCTCTTTTTGATTTCTCTATGAAAGAGGATTCATTCAGGCGCTGGTTTCTACCGATTCACACTTGTTTGTTCTCCATATTCCTCTTCGGTTTAAAGTGGAATAATGTCCTAATTTCTCTTCTATACATATCTCTGAGTCAGATATGTTTAGACCAGCAGAAAAATAAGAGGGAAAGAAGGAAAAACTAGAAGATTACAGCTAATGTCGGGACCTTGAGGAAATGTATGTCAGGTGGCATGTACAGGCAGCAACTGAGCAAAACATCCTCCGCAGCTTTTACCTGATGAATGGACAAATAAGAATCTAAACGAAGCGCTCCTGCAGCAGTTATCGTATGCTACCACTTCCTAAGAGTCTTACTTTTTAGCTAAGCAGTGCACACAGTCAGCACAATTCTCAAAGTAAGGAAAGTGGTGGAAACGGAGCATTAGGCGGCAACAAACTTTGCATTATCAGTGGTTAAACATTCTCTAAAAAACAAAACAACAAAAAGAGTCCTAAAGGCGTGAGAGTAATAAACAGAGACACTGGAAGCCAACAGCTCAGAGAGAACCTGATAAAACTGACTGTGGGCCACGGACAAGAAAGTCTTATTTGTATGCAGATGGTGTTTGTGCTTCTTTTCCTCTAATTTGTCTGCGGTGTTTCTTTCCTCTCTCACTGTCGTAAGGAATGAGGAAACACCGCCTTAGTGGTTCTGTCCTTTCTGTCACCATTATCATGTCTGCCACAGCGACAACGTCTGACAGATGTACCTGCACCGGTCACACAGAAGCCACAGTATCAACATTCATCCTTCTGACAGGACTGGTTAAAACGGGTGTATGTCTAGGTTTAAACTGACGTCTAAATGTATGCAGGTCGAGTTCCAACTTTTGTGTTGAGGTACGGCAACAAAAAAAAAAAAAACAAAGGCAACCGATTAGCCACAAAATTGTAAAGATTAGCCACAATATAGTTCAAACTTGGACAAAAACAGAGGAATAATCCAGATGGAGCTGAGGTTGCAGTTGTATAGGAAATGCCACATCTAGAAGGAACAGAAAATTGGCTAAAAGTTAACATTTCCAGCTAAAACGTTGCACTGAAACAGTGAATTAAATAAAAAAAAGTAGCATAAAACATACTTGTCAGTACCAGGGGTTAAAGGTCATCAGCAAAGCTGGCCATGAAGATTTAGATGATTGAACATGGGTTCAATTTGATCTTTGAGACATTGTAATTTAAGCCAATGTATGGACCAATTTACTGACCAGCTGCCATTTCTCTCATGTCGTAATCCTGTACTTCAGGAAATGAAAACACTCAACACTATACTAGGTTTTACCATGTTGGACAACAAGCTGTTAAAATTTGCAGTACTTGCTCAGACAAAATATCTGCAGGAGGGTACGTTTGGCATCATGAAGAAGCCATACTGACTGCATATGAAGCAGACGTAGCTAAAGCAACAGCTAGCATGGAGTAGAACGGTACAAGGAGCTGCACATTTTAGCTTAAAAATGCTGCAAAATGAAGCCTTGTAAAAATCTAAAATAAAATTTAAAAAATTCAGAACGCATAAACTTTTGAGATAACAGTGGGAAATATAGACAAACAGAGGCAGAAGATGGAGATGCTCGATAAAGTAGATAAATGAGCTGGGGGGAATGCTAGATAATACACGAGCTCCGTAATTATCTTCACATGCAAATGTTCCACAGGATGATATTATTGCAAAGCTGAGTCCAGGGGGGATACTTGTTGTCAACGTATCCCCACCTGAAAACTTGTTAAGACCTGATTGTGTTCCTAGTGTCATGAACATCTCAGGAGAGTTTGACCTTGTTGTTAGTAGTAGATCAGCAAAAAGAAATCTACCAAAAAGATGCATTAATCAGGGGTGTAAAAGACTCTTACCTCCTGTGCGGCCGAGACCGACCTGCACAGCAGGGTGCAGACTGCCCTCATTGTTAAGCAGGTGAGGCATGTGATGGTAGATATTTGGCACCTGGAGCTGTTTCCTGTTTGCCAGCTCCTTCAGTAGTTTCTGGGTCTCATCTACAAACAAAGTTAAAATAAATGACATTAGGGTTGGGAATCTCTGATTACCTCGTGATTAAGCGGGCAATTATTAAGATTATGACATTGTTTTAAGATTACTGTTAGAAAAATATACCAATACATAATTCAATACACATCGGAATAAGTATGTTTCAAATCCACTATTAAATAAGCAAATATTCCTGAATATTACTTTAAATAATGTACATGGGTCGACTCATCGCCTGTTATTAATTAATTAGAAGACAGTGTTTTTGAACAACATAAGCATAAAACTCCCTTGTTTACATTTGATAATTGGAAAAAAAAAACTTCAAATATCTCATGGTGGGCAAAGAATTCTTGAGAAAAAAAATTATAGAGCTAAAAGCCAAAAAGTATCTCTCATGAAAATATTTTATGAATAAAATCAAATTGAATTACACAAGAAAAATAATGTGACACATCCAATGGTGACAATGATGGAGCAAAGCATGTGCAAAATGCTGACTTTGACAAAAAGAGGGAGGTTGTTATGCAAAAACCCTCAAATCTTTAGCAATCAATGTCGTTTCCAAGAACTGGAACTGAACTGGAGAGCGCATGTTGGTTGTCTATATTGCATACGTGTCAAACTCAAGGCCCGGGGGCCAAATGCGGCCTGCCAAGCCGTTTTGTGAGGCCCGCAGGAGCTTAAAAAAAAATTAGGAAAGTCCATGCAGCAGAGGTTCTTAACCTGAGAAATTAAACGTTTTTTTAATCAATCAAATAATAATCAATTGTAGAAACATGTATTAGTCTGTTATGGAGTAGTTACATCTATACCAGTGGTCCCCGACCTTTTTTGTTCCAAGGACTGGTCAACCAGTACCACCTATACTACAGACCAGTAGCAAGGTACTGAGCTTCCAAGGATCAATACATTTTCAAAATAAAACATCTTTTAGTATCAGAGTCTGTATTTCTATTATTCATAAGCCAATCAATATCGGTGAAACCAAATTATTTTAGTTTCAAATACAGTTCAGGAAACAGGTTTAACAGTGGAAAAAACAAACAGAAGTTCATTATATCTTCACATGTTCTTACCTGAAAAGTTGGTTAAAGCATCTTTGCTGTTGTTAGTTTCAGCAATGGCTCGCCTGAACTGCTCTAGAATGTGGTTTAGCTCAGACGAGCGCTGCAGTGTCCGGTGTTCTGCCACACGGAGGCGCTCTTTCAATGCATGGAACTCCCGTTGGTAGGCTATCAGCTTTTCTGAAAGAAGAAATCAAGGCAAAAACAGTGGTTCAGCGACAAAAGACGAGGGAAAAAACAAACTCGTGGACAGTTATAATCAGTAACTGGGGACCTGGTGTCAATCCCAGAAGGCTCATCAACACACAGATTATAGCACCTGTTAAAATTGGTTTTATTCTCTATTCATTCTTTCCTGTTAAGTTGTTTTTCTGTTGCGTCAAAATTGTCTCTTGAATTATTATAGCTTGATTTAAAGAAATACATGACCAATTATTGAAGTAATAATTTGCCTTCTGCATGTAGTCAAGTCAACAACCAGCTTTGTTTATCCAATCAGGTGGTGAGATACAAAACATGCACGGCCATGTCACGTACATGCCTAAACCAATAGGCCAATTAAACAAAGCAAACCATATGGATTGGAAACAGACCTATTAAAATGTGTATTCAATAAGTTAATGGCATATTAAGTTTAAAAATTATTTCCTAATCATAATTACTGGACTCATGATCAGTTCCACCTCTAGTAGTTTGTTAATAACGTCCGTAACGACTGTACGTGGAGACATGCAATGCTGTACGCCTAACATTTTTTACTTTTGAGATTTAAGAGCAGATTCAGAGCAGAAAAAAACATCTGCCAGGCTGTTATCATGACACCAAGTTGAGGTGTGAGACAATGACTGTCAGATCGGTGGGTTAGCAGTCTGGGATCACGCTGTTAGATTTGTCACAACAGCAAGAACTGACGAGTTAGTCATGCTTCTTATCTCACTTTGTGACATTTTTATAAGTAAGCTTTTAGCTTTTATAGATGAGCTGCCCAAAGGCACATCCTCTGAGTCTTGCTGAACTGTGTAGGCTACTTGCAAATAATTTGCAGGGGATGATCAGCCCGGAAAGTGGATTGGAAACCTTATGGAACAAGTCAGCATGGAAAACTGGATTTTCCCACCATGTTTGGAGATAATAAAAACATCATCAATAAAAGGAGGTAAAGCCCCACTTCCTTTGTCTTTGTCCCATCTCTGTGGCTGTTTCTTAACTGAGCTGTTGTTTTCAACTCTTGCCCCTGCCTCTCTTTAAACAGAAATCTGTTGTTATTCACCAAGAGACTGAATAATGTTGCATTCTGGCCCCAAACATGAAAAAAAAAGGGCAGCTTAATCATACTGCTGAGGAACAGCGGTACCACCAAGCAGAAACAAGAAGTAGATGTAGTGGTTTACAGTTAGTGTTTCTGCTGCACGGACACATCAGGTGGTGAAACTGTAGGAGCACATCAAACCTTAATGGAGGGAAGTGCCACTCTCTTTACCTGAGAAGTGTGTCTGGTAAAGTGTCCTAATGCCCTAGTTACCCAGTGTAATTATTATTTATTTCTTTTTTTTCTAAATAAAACATAACATTTTTATTTTAATACGATTATTGTTTTAATACAAAAAACAACTTTATAAAACTATTTTAGGAAATATATGTTACCCACTTAGTCAATTTATCTGCCATTATTGGCATGACATGTAGCATGTCTGCTTGTCATGTTTTATTCTACAACTCTACAACTACAAATGTATATAAGTACTTCATCAGCACATATTTTGAAGGTCACTTTGACGATACATTTCAAATCACAATAAAGTCAAAGAAAGGGGTTGAACTGCCAATTTCTTTGGCGGGAATACAGACACTCGATTATATGTTTACGAAAAATGCATTAAACAATTAGAGCCAGCTCCGGTCTGGAGTACATCTCTACAATCTCATTATCCTCCTCTGCTCTGTAGAACCATAAGCAATGGGGCGAGGGCTAAGTGGCTTTTCCTCTGTGTCTGGTAACCTTTGCTGCTTCCTCTACTTCCATGGACATACTGGACCTTCCCTATCATGTAGATTAAAAAAACACATTTTCAGGTCTTGGATACAATCTGTTTTTATTATATGGTTCTTGATAGATCTTGTCTACTCTTCCCCTCTCCTCATGTCCATGAATCCACTGCCTCCCACTCTCCTGTGATATTTTGCCTCGATGTGCCAACCTTGGGTCAGCCTCTCATTTTATTTGATTTATTAATGAGGTGCACAGTGGGGATGAGGAGCAGAATATATATTGGACATTTAGCAATGGAATATCCCTTTATAGAAAAGCCAAAAACTAAAAAGGCTTTAGCTACATATATATTTTACTTAAAAAAAACTTAAACAAAAGTAAAGCCGCGTAACTTCAAAATACAACCTCATTTATATTAATAAACTTAAAACACATTTGTGCTGTTGCTGTGTAACAGGCATGCAGGTGCCAGTGTATACAAAATAAAAAATACACATAATCCCATCTGCAAATTTTGGAAGTAGTAACCAGAATTTTAAAAAATATATAATAATAATAATAATAATAATAATAATACACATTCACAAGTATAGTTTACTGCTGAGTTGTAACTGACAGGAAGTAAGAATCAGGAAGTGAATGCAGGTCATACTCTTTCTATAATTTCATTATTGTCTGTCTCTTGTGAGTAGTAGTAGTTGACATGAGTTGAGGACAGATTGTGAATATATCAGACAAAAGATGTCAGAGATGCAGTTGAAGGAAGACCTCCGAGACGTGTAGAGGTTGTAAAAGAATAACATGGAGATAGTTGGAGTAAAAGCAAGAGGCCGGAGTCAGAGGATCCACTGTGGTGATGCCTGAAGAGAACAACCAAAGAAAGAAGAAGAAGAAACCTAAACAGGCCATAGTTATCTAAAAGTTTCCCATAAGCAGCATATTTCTGGTTCTACAGCTCTATGGGAGCTGCATTAAAATAAATTTCACTACATGGAGTTGCTCAACAAATACAGTATGTGCCTGAGTTGCTTTCACAAAGTGTCATACTGCTGTAGCAGACTTCCCACTGAAGGCATGGAGAAATTAAAAACCTTAAAATCCCCAAAAGAGTTTGTGTGTTTATTGTGTGGTCATTAATCCGGTGCTTCATGTAAAATCCCATCATTAACTTTTACACAGCAAAAAGCCATGTGTAATCTGTTAGACGCTCCAATCCAACAACCTAGCAGTTCTCACAGTTTTATTGAAGAACGCCTCATTTAGCAAGACTAAAAATATAAAAATGATATTCATGTGTTCAAATGGTAACCTTCAGCTAATGTCCATATTGGACAGTGCTCACCTCAATGGTAGGCATTGATGCAAAGCTCCTATATATTAACAAACAGTACAGGAGTGATACAGTGATAATAAAAATATACCTGAATTAAATGTTTTACAAAAGTGGATGAGAGATTGAAATGCAGTTTGTTGACGCTCAACACTAAACTCGCCGATTTGAGGGGGTTTATCAGTGACTCCATCAGCTCTTCTAGATCCCACGCACTGACGTTGTCCTTGACCTCACTCTCCCATGCTGATAAATGCTGCTGAGTGTGGGCTTATAAGTGCTGATGAGGGGCTTGTGCACTTCATGCTTGCATGATCCAGAGACTTGCATGATGTAAATGTTCCCCATTTAGGTTGAAATACCCCCTGTTCATTCTTTCTTTCTTTCTTTCTTTCTATCTACCCATCTATCTATCTACTGTATCTAAAGGCTTGACATACTGGCTTATAGTAACACGCTCTAAAAGAAACAAATGCAGCCCATGCTTCAGCAGCAGATGTTCAGAGGAAACTGTGGTTGACATTGTTGTTTGAGTGTAACTTTTTTCATGGAACCAACTTCCTACAGAAGCAGACTTTTCGTGACTTAAACATCTTGTGCATGGCTATAAATGAATATCGTTCTATATAAAAAAAAAATACCCCAAACAACAGAATGACAGAATTATTTGATTGTTTCGACAAAGTCAGGATAAAAGTTTCCATTCTGTCCTCAAGCTGTTGGTGTAAGTATTCAATAAATCAAACACACCAGGGTGGTATCATTATTCTCATCTAACTCTTTGACTTTTCTCTCTGTTTCTCAGGGCCTGAAAAGATCAAACAGAACAGTGATGCTGTGCTTCCCAGAATATCTGTGTAATAGAAGTGTCATATCTGACATTTAAACTTAATGCATCTTACCACAAGGTTAGACGCATTAGGTTAAGATGTTTTTTCCCCTTGGTTCTAATCAGGGCTGTGCAATCTGAATTACAATTGCTATTTGGATTATGACTGCAATCACTAACATCAAAGACGTGATAGGAATAAAATCTAATCATTTAAATTATTTCAGCTGCTGGATTCTAGAGCGACGGGGTCAAATTCATTTTTACTGCCACATCATCAATACAGTTCCCCATTGAACTGTAGAGATGTAACTATTCCATAACATTTTAATACATTTATTTTTACTTATTACCCTATGTAATATGAGTTTTTAATTTATCAGGGTAAAAACTCTTTACAGTATTATAAGGGAATTAAATGCTTTTTAAGCAAAATGACTTGGTGGGCCGCATTTGGCCTGCAGGCCTCGAGATCGATACATGCTCTAGAACAGGGGTGCCCAAAAGGTAGATCTCAGAGGGAGCTGCGGTAAATCCTGAGCAATTACATTTAAAGAAACAAACAAAAAAAAATTTAAAATGATAGATTTAATTATAAGATGCTAATCACTAGGGCTAAAGTAAGGACCATAGTATTGTGCCATACAACTACAGCCATTTAATCAAAGTAGTAAATATATACTTATAGTTTTCAATGTAGGTAAATCACTTTACCCCGGGCATTTGAAAAGGAATTCCCACGCCGAAAAAGTGTGGACACCCCTGCTCTAGAACATACTGCATTACTTCCCAAATGATATGTGCATGTGCTGTTCCAGCCTTTCTAATGCCTAAACTTGTAGGGGGGGTTCTGGTGGTGGTGTTAAAATCAAGCAAGTGCAAGTAAGGACAGCAAAAGAAGAAGAGGAGGAGCAACAGGAGGAGATAAGAGATACAGGGGAGCAACAGCACATACCAAGTGAACTCAGACCAAAGCAGGAGAGGTGGAGTCTCACCATATCAGCATCCTCCACATGACAGCAGAGGATGTATTACAAAGATTAAAAAACAAAATGGACCTACCAGCACCATCACTGTGTATTTGACTGTTGTTTGTAATAGGCCAATAACCTGGTCCTTTTATTTTTAGTAATAATACTTAGTACTTAATACTTAATACAATACTGGTATTACCTTTCTATTATTTACTCATTATTTGTAAATTGTTTGGGTTATAGTTATATTATAATGTATATTTGCTATCCCTAACTATTATAATTTTTTTGTTTTAAAGAGGTCAGGTTTGAAGGAAACTATCACAATTGCAGATCATCATATGAAACAAATCTACTCAAAACTCAGTGAATAACGGTGACAACAGAGATTTCAATATGGACCAAATTAAGCATTTTCCCATAATCACACCACACCATCTTGATATTTCTGTTTATACAACACACTTCCAAGTTATTTAGAGATAATTATTATCTATATGTAATTTAATGCACAATATAAGCAACAGTCTTGAGGTACAAAATGCCACATTACTACACAGCGTCTTTTTATGTGTGATTAATATGCAAAGAACACAGAAATCAGGAAGGGGGCAAATACTTTTTCACAGCACTGTATATTGCATGTATCAGGCCCTGAAGCAGTGCACCTGCTGCCCGCCTGGTTGCCTACTCTGCAGATGCGTGCGTTCAAAAACACAAAGCATTTACCCCACGTTTATCTCTGATACAGAGCAGACGGTGCAACACGTGAAGTTGAGATTAACAGAAGATAAACAGAAATGGCCATCGCACCATGTTTAAGGGGCGGATGAAAATGTATATACAGTATATGTGTTCCAGCATCAGGTCCAAAAGTCATGGTAGATTAAACACTGCAGTGAAATACAGAGGTAACAGAGGTCACGGTTACATGAGGATCTGTTCTGTGTGGTGCTGTGGGACAGGAGTAAGATCAATCAAGATAATGTGAGTTAAGCATTGGGGCATAAATGGTCTCACTGGGATTAAACAATGCAGAAAATTTAAATACAGAAAAATCAAGCCAGCACACCAACACACATAAATAATGTGTGTTGGTGTGCCCCTCTCCACCTCCCCCGCACGCACACACACACACACACACACACACACACACACACAGACAGCAGTATTATTGATTTTGAGGCTATTTTCCTGATGGGGAGTGCAAGTCGATCCATGAGTGGGACAAAGATATTCCCTGAACACTTCTTTGCTGTTAAAAAAAAAGTGAACACCTTCATCCCATTTAGTCGTTTTCCATTAAAACAACTTTGCCTTTACCTTTATGGCTGTACAGGAGGGCCTCTGACCATAAAACAACACATGACACATTCTAACCAAGCCAAATAATTGCCTTCGAGCCTGGTCTAAATATTTCATCAGCCACTGCAGTCAAACCAACATGATATTGTTTTCTGAGATTTTTCCCAAAGCTGTAATCCAAAAGTTAAGCCAAATGTTTTGAAAAGTGGAAGTACAACACATCAGGGAACGGACAATGTCCAGAGTTCTTCTGAAGAACTCCGGTTCTCCTGAAGGTGCTGAACCTGAGGAGCTATACAGGACAAACACTTTAGCCATACACACTACTGATTACACAGTGTGACCTTTGGCTATAGTTAACAAGCCTCAGCTGACACTAGATTTACTGAGAGCCCTGTCACACTCACATACCTCCAGCACCTGAACCTGAAAAGTTACTTCTTCTCTCAAAGACAACTAAAACCTTTTTTTCTACCTGTGAACTGTTGCATCATTGCTCTAAAAACTGTATAAAATGACGCTGTGGTCAGACAGGGTCGATGATGTGAGGTGTTGAAACCATTTTACTTGAAATGATGGTGTCATTAAAGGGTGTATCATACCAAGAAACTAATACACAACACACCCAGAGAGGAGAACGTAATGAACTAAATATTTGCTTGTGATTTTAGCACACTTTCTCTCTCTCTCTGACAGTCCACACTGACTACCGACAGCAATCAGCCAAAGGCTTGGCCCCTCTCTGCTCATTTCCACTCCTCTGGCTCCACTTGGCTCCTGAAATGCTTTGATCAGCCAAGGCTTTTGTGCTTTTTTTGGAAACTCCACTTTGAGGGATGTCATCAGTAATCAGTTGTTTAAGATATGCAACGCAGGGTCCAAATTGCTGCGACCATCACATGGAGTATTTTTAGAGCTGGCTTGTAACAGATTTAACTCTCAAGCTTTTTCTTCATTTGACCTTATGCAAAATCATTTAATTTAGCTAATGTCTGGCCAAAACATAAGCCATCTACAAAAATAACCATTACATTAATAACTAAATTAAATTGATTTAGCTAATGGCTAGTATGATAAATCAGTGGTTTTTATATTTAAAGACTTTCATTCGGCAGCTGAGGTGAAGTAACAGAATTATTTTTGTTAGATTTCGGTTGAATATTTTTGGCAGGATATTTTGAAAATATGATATTTTTAAAAATTATTTCAAAAGCAATGTTAGAACCATCTGACAAACTTAGATCTATGTTCAAAGACAAATGGACATAAGTAGATTGCGACCTACCAGTAGATAATGGTAGTACTAATAGAACATGAGCAATGAAAATTGTATATATATACAGATGCCTTTAAGAATGCACACTCACAAACTGCTTCAAAGAAGCACCAGTTTTGCTGTAGGAGAATGTGACTGGATAATCAATAATCTGATTGTTTCATCACTGCACACAGAGCGGTTTGTAAGCAGTCGTGGAATTCTAGTGAATGAAGAAATGAATGAACTGCATTGTAGGATTAGGGAAGTGCGCAGAAGCATGGGGCAGGAAACAACAACAAATGCAAAGTTACTCACAAATGATGCCGAGGATGGCGGTTCCTGTTAAGACACAGAAGGACCTGTCTGAGATCATGGGTGGTGGGCGCATGTGTGTGTTGTGTCAGCAGTCCTGTCCCTTCTCTCCATCCTTTAGCCCACCCGCCCTTCTACGAACTCTAGCCAAAGTCTCTTGGGATTCCACTGGCATGCAGCATACCTTATAGCTCATTCTAATGAACGTATACATTAAAATGTCCAAAAAGACATGATTATCAAGTCCTTATTATATACACCCACATTATAGCTAATTATCCGTCTTCTCCACAGCCCACTTCATCCCAATCCCTGATGCTATTTTTGGCCCATTGTGTTGAGAGTGATGGAAGAAAAGCCTGTCCTTAATCAGGGAGGAAGGACTACGGAAGGCAAGGAGGAAGCCATTTGCTACAGGGAACAGAGATTGGTGCTTAGTTAACTAGCCAGTAGCGCTGCTAAATGGGCTTAAAATAAAAGCTCCTAAAGCTCAACCAGGAAGTGCAGCAAAAGTCCAAAAGTTTGTCACAAAAGTTCTTTCTTCAAGAAACTAAAAAGTAAAATGGCTATCATCCTTAACCTATTGACCAGTATTTATTCAAAAGATGGAGAAACACTGATCATCTATGACTTCATCACAGTTATTACATGTCATATTTTTTTCTACTTTTTCTACCATATTCACGTTTCTATTACAAGCCTTTAAACTATTTTTTGTGATCTCTTATCTGTGACTAAACCGGTGGATATAGTTTATGTTATAGGTGAAAAGTTTTGACACTAGTGTTGATGCTAAACTCTGGGTTTTTAACTGTTTTTCTGTGTGTGTACGTCTTTTAACCGTAGTTTCCCACAGTTATTTCTAGTTATAGCTGTACCAGTTCTTATTCTATTCAAATGAATTACATGGCTCAAACAGACACAGATTCGGTCTCTTTCCACAATACAGGACAGAGTACAATACACAACACAACACAACACTCTGGAGAGTCATTGATATGGACTGTTTGGACAGCTGACTAGCAAAATCTCAGTCACAGCAGTATAGTGACTGTGGATAGGTCAGACTGCCAGAGAAAAAGACTGGGGTCAAAAAAAACAACTATAAAACACGTCATTAGAAGCAGCATTAAACAGATCACTGGTGCATATAAGGACATGCCATAAGCATGACATAGGCTGATCCGGCAACCCCAAGGACAATACTCATCTGAGATCTTCAGAGTTAGCCATTGTTCAAAGGAAGCTGTTGTTGATTCCTGTCTCCAGGGAGTGGCTCTAGATGAAGGTTAACATTGTTTACTTCAGTTGAAAGCTGTGCATAAAAATGTTATTTAAATAAAAGTTTACATAAAAGAATTATTCATGTTACATAAGGTAACATGTTTAATGATTAAAATATATTGGCTGGAAAAATTGTAAATTTTTAATTTACAACATTTACAATTAGGAGGATGTTCCTAAAATAGCAGATGAAATCCCATTGTTATTCCTGGGCTTCACTTTTGATGACTACATCCATTGTTTATGTCTGGTCTGTGGTTACAGTAACTTCAGGGATCAAAGAGAGAAATTTGAATGTTATATGAGACATGTCATAGGTTTAAAGAGCTTTTGTTTATTTTTTTTCTGAATATATAATTTAATCAGAGGCCCAAGTTATTATTCAAAAGTTATTGTAGGGCAGTAAACAGGAAGTGGCTTGTAGATGATAATTGCATAAACAACATTAGGTAAATAAAAAAAACAACAACACAAACATAGGTTGGAAGCCAAGATATAGAGCAGGGAACCCCAACCCCCGGGTCCTTAGGTCAGTTGGTACCTGGGCCACAGTGGCTGACAGTGAAAAAATGAGCAAGACAGGTTTTCCTTACAGCATACACCTGGTTTAGTCAAAGAAAAATTATTTAGTTTCTTAATTCATTATTCAACCTAAAGTCAACCTTGGACTGAACAAGCTCACTGAATAATGTTGGAATGGAAAGACAAATACACTAAAGTTAAGCTAACACAGAGGAAGATAGAGGAAACTACAATGAAAGGATCCTTCTTTCTTGAAGCGTAAAACTATAAACCAGTTGTCTAACAGACAGTGGAGGGGGACAACCTCACTAAACCTTACTTATCACATGCACACAGACCTTAATCAAACCATGTAAAAGTGTCGTGTGTGCTCTTGTGGTGGCACTGAATTAACTGAATTCAAAGCAAAAAGCTTTGTGGAACTGGTAAAACTATAAAACTAATCACATCATGAAGGCTTCACTTGAAATCTTTAAAGAAGCTGCAATTATTTACACTATGCTGATAAGGCCAATGATAACCTAGGCCTGTGTGCACTGACTCAGACCATTCCGTCTGTGGCAACACGATTGTGTAATGAGCCTGGCCATAGATGTTTGACAGAACTTACAAAATGTGGCTTCTGCCCTAGACTAAAGCTTTAGGTATTATAGCAAGTAATGATAGATGACATCATGTTGAGTTAATATAAACAAAACAAACAAAGAATAAAGTATTGTTATTTGGGTTATTTGAACTGACAGGCAGAAACTTGAGAAGAGAAGAGCCAAGAAAAGACTAACTGTAGATCCCAGTGGGATAGTCACCTTTATACAAATAATATAAATAGAACACAAAGATTTAATATTAGCAGTGATAAATGGAATTGATGGCATTGAGAAGATAGAGTTGGCTCACAATTAATCAAATTGTGTACCTAGTAACAATTTTTTTGTTTTGTTCTGCAAAAAGGTAACTGAGATCATTTACTATTTATACATGTTATTAAAAGGTATCTAAATTTTCAGAAAAAAGGCCCATGGTCAAACTAGCTAAAATGGACTAAAAGTGGTAAACAAATTATTAAAAACAACTAAAAGCTAACCATATAATACAAATGTTACAGAACCTGAACAAGACAGTAAATGGGAAAATGGCTGGCAGTCCAACCTATGGACATGCTTCCACTACAGCAGTGTATATCGACTAAACTTTATCTATTGATAACAGTCTACTAATTATTGACGATCAACTTCAAAAGCAGTTATCAACTATTTTGGTGGTGCAACGCTATTTTAGCAACGCTTGACAACAGCTCCATATGTGCAATACATTTGGATCACAGATAATGAGGTTCCTGCGATTCCAATATTGACGAGAGAATACATTAATGCTGTTTTCGTCAGAAAAATTGAGACAGGATTGGTTCGCATTGTCCCATGTCAACTACCAGCTGTCCTGCGACATGCTGCTGGCTCGTCGTTAACCCTGAACAAACAGAGGCACAGAACAAGGTCCTAATAAATACTATAAATACCAAAAAAACTGAACATACCTTTGCCATTCTGCCATGCTGTGTACCAGGACAGGCTAAGGAAGGACGTAAAGAATATGATCGCGGTGGCCACAGTTCCATTTCTGAGCCTCATCTCATTTCAGCGATGCCTCTCCTCGGCTTTAGTGTCAGTGAGCCTGGAGCTGCCGCTGCCTCCCACGGCTCTTCCCTCACCGCCTTCGGGATGTAGACACAGTCGTTGACTCAGGCATATGTAGGCGTCACGAGATTAAAAATAGGGTAACTTTTTAAAAAAATGTAAAAAGAACCCGGACCGAAAGCACGAACGAAAAGAAGTTGACTAAAGGAGAGGGGGTAGTAGCCTCGGATGTTTCCTCGCCGTCGGTGCGTTTCTTATTCACGGTGGTCGCAGGGGCTGTTAAAACGGACTCTTCCTGCACAAATATCGGTCACGAGTCAGCTCCCCCCTTTTTAACGACGGGTTAGTTTACATGTTGTTTAAAAAAAAGCTATACACGAACTAGCTTCCAGTGCAAGCCATCATAAATCTCACAGCTCCTAGTCCTTACAGCTACAAGTTACACCACCAGCAAAAAGAGGAGCATTATCGCAGACGTACCCGCCGGTCTTCGGGGATAGGTTGCTCCGACTCTGACGGGGCTCCTACTGGGCTACGCCTCAAATGAATACACGGTTATAACACTTTCATTACCGGCGTTCCAGGGTTTAAACAAAGGTCATTGTAACTCATATATTAAATTGTTTTTTGTCGTTGTATCCGGGAACTTCTGCGCCACCACCGATGTGTTACCAAATTAGCTGTCAAAGCTAACGTGAGGACGAAACGCTTCTGGTTAATTTGAGCAGTAGCAAACACAGGCTCTGTCAACCTGCTGCTACCAAAACAAAAGCAGCTCGAATAGGAGGAGCAGGAGTGGAGAAAAAGAGGGGGTCTGTCCTCGTCGTTCCCCGCAGCAAGAGCTTGACATTTTTGGCTCGTCGACGTCAATTGAAACATAGTTCAAAAAAGGGAAATAACATTTATGTTTCCAGAAATTTCCATTGACAAATATTCACAAAAAACAACTAAATAAGTCTGTCCGCTGCTGTGTCAGGAAATTAGTTTAAGGGTATATATTTCAAACAATGAGGGTGGCATACAGAAAAATCAAGTATGAAGTGAATGTGAATTACTTGTTGGATTGAATTCTGGTGACCATTTTACAGTGTGCAATAGTGCACTGACTCCCTTTGTCATGTTGAAGTGACCAGGCTCGATACACTACTGATGATGTATCCTAAAATTCATGATACACTACTGATGATGTATCCTAAAATGCATGCCCTTCCGATGGCTGTGCTTTTTTTTTTACCGTTTACTGGTTAATAATTAGCAGTAATATGTCAGAATTTCACACTGTTGTGTCGTCATTATACATCCTGTTGGATTACTGACACCTTCTGGTCATATGTTTAACATTCTTTAGGTTTCAGTAGAGCAATGATTACCAAACGTTTTTAGGCCACAGCACATATTTTAGATTCGTTTAGATTTAGATTAGACAATTCCATGGCATATCACTACACAAAATGTAATGAAATATAATGATCTTCTAGTTTTAGTTTACATAAATTTGACTTACTCAGTGTGAAACCTGGGCCTATTTAGTTGAACAAAACACTGAGATAGATACAGGAACTGGAGAACAGCAAATACAAAGAACTCTCTTATTTTTAGTTTAGTGTTGCATAGATGAGCAGAGACAATTGATTTACAGTAAATAAGTATTATCTTTCACAGCAATTAAGTGAAATTGGATAATTTTCCATGGTACACCTGGTGATCTCTCACACTAATGTGCCACAGTGGTTAGGAATCACTTCACGCAAGGCTTTTAACAAGCTCTATCATACATTGCATTTTGATCTTCTCCTTTCATCAGCTGTTTCTTCACACCCAAGAATGTACTTAATTTAAATTCCTCTCTGCCATGTGCAGTCCTGCCACCCACTGTTCCTCATCTCTCCAGCACATATTGCTTTTTCTTCATTTGAGTTTTTAGGCCAGATATTAATCCCCATCTCTGTCAAGAATTTAATGATCTTTTCATCGGCTGTTTCTCTTCACTGCAGGATTCCCTTGATATTTGTAGTTGACCTTGGCACCTGCAATCATGCCACTTAATTACTTTTCTTTTTAGCTTCTTCTACAGGTGCTGTGTTCTTCTGTTTTATTCTTTCCACTATGACTGCGCTTTCCTGTTGATGTTAATGTTTTCCTTCCAATGCACTTATGCAACATAGAATAAGTTTATAATTAGTTTATATTTTGTTCAGCTCAATCCAGGCAAAATGTTTCCATCAATGTGCACATATTTGATGTTATAGTGACGTGTTTGATGCATTAGCATCAACTGTATGCCCTCTAGTCTCTTGTCACTACAGCAAAAACTGCACTTTGGGAATTTACTGAGAAAGCACGCCATCTAGTGACATTTAATTCAGCTGCACAACTGCCCTTCTGCAAGATTTACTCCTCCTACTTTTTACTTCTCCAAAAAACCAAAACACAAAAATCTAACTTGCTTACATTCATTTATTTATTTTACAAACCAGACAAACGGTTTGATGCAAACTCATTAAAAACCAAAATCAGTGTTAAAAAATATATGACTAAAAAACTTACAGGCTGTGACATTCATTCAGTAAAGAACAGCTAGGCTGAAATGAGAGGTATGGTGTGGAGAACATTCAAGTTTGAAGGATAAAATAAAAATACTGAACAGAAAATATTTAATACTATTCATTCTTGACATATTGATGAAATGTCAGTGGGAGTGCCGTGTGCATTGAAGTCTGCTGAGCTTATTTGCCTTTGTAGGTCAGCATATTGCAGAGTTAGCAGTGCTCTCAGAATGGGGTAGCTTTAAAGTAGTCTTCGACAGAAATGAGTGATGTCCCTCCAAACCAGTTCTGTAGCCAGACCTGAATCAACTCCAGCTTCATAAAAAACCACTTGTGTCCCAGTGGCCACTTTGCCATTACAGGATGTCTAAAACACATCAATATCCATTATCATTCTGCAGATAACATCAGAACCAAATGTATAATGTTTGTTCCACCTTTCTACCTGGAGAACATTGCATCCTTAGCGAACGCAAGCTCCTCGGGTGCCACCTCCACCATCCTGCCCGTCAGTGTGAGGCGAGCACATCTGGGATCCTCTGGATCATATACCATTTGTCTTGACACAAGAAGGAGCAATGTTAACAGTGTGAGGACCTGACGTCATTGAATCCATCTGAAAATTGGGGCTTACCTGCAAAAGTCAGCCTCTGCCTCTGAAAAGGTTAAGGACACGAATGGGTTGCTTCTCAGGTCAGACACAGTGTTGTCCATCGGCGTCACATAGAAGTAGATCACTCCAGTGCTGTTTTCTGCTGGTCCATCACTGACTGAGAAAATGTTTCCAAAGGGAAGGCCTTTAATCTGAGTGTGTGACAAAGAAAAGTGATGTAAAACATGTCTGTTTTTGACAGTTGATGATCAAACTGTTGAAGAATTTATATGTATTGCATACAATACCTCAAGAGCTGACAATGTTCATCTTAGAATCATTAATTTTGGCTTTTTAACATTTATTTATTTTACAACTAATTTAGAACTAGTGTTGTTGAACCTGGAGTCTTATGGTGGGAGTTCTGCAACAGTCAATTTGACTGTTTATGCATTATTTGTATAATATCTAAACATTTAATATGAATTCTATAAACAAATCGGCGTGATGTAAGTATAGGTGATGAACAATGGGACAATGGATGTCATTTCTAAGACGTAAGAAAACAATAAAAAAACATTTACATAAAAAATGCAATAACTGGTTGTAATTGCAGTAACATTAAAAATAAATGTTATTAGGGGTTTTTGTCTCTGCTAGTGTTAAAATGAATAACTAAAAATGCCAGGGATATTTCTTAATATAAACCAAAAGCTGAAAGCTACCCTGGCATGGTCAAACTGTGCGAACACAGGAAATGGCTAATACTTAGCCTATGAATAGCCTAAAGTCAGTTTAAAAAATAAAATTGGTATCAACTAAAATAGAAATAGCTAATAAAAAACACTAATAACTACCACGAACATACATAAAGTAAATCTTAGCTCGGAAAGCTACCAAACTTTTAAAAAGTTATCCAAAAAGGTATGACCACATAAAACCCGTTTGCGTGCTGTGATTGGGCCATGAGCCAGACTTTGGATATTATTTAGCCTTATAAGGACCAGGGCCCTTTCCCTTGGCTGTTTAATTGCACGATTTGAATGGAAGGGTCCGTGTCTCACCTCGTCTTGAGTGGAGATGGTGGACAGGAATCCCCAGTCACTGTAATGAGCTATGTATCTGGCAGTCCTGGCGGTCTCCTGGTGCGGGGGCGGACTGTTCCTGCTGCCACCGCTGCTGGTGGGCTTCTTCTTCCCTTTCTCCATTTTGTATGAAAACAAACGAGAGGAAAACTGCGCCATATTTTCGTCCTTGCGTTTTACCAAGTCTGCGGGAGTCTCCGAGCCGTCTCCCAGGACCTCGGTTGACGGGTACGCCTGTTTCCAGAGCCCCGCACTGTCCGCCAGCAATGCCGGAGCGACCTCTTCCTCCTCGGACATGTCAGCGTCTTCGACGACATCACCGGGGGAGATGACCCAGGACACCGGACCCCTCAGCGTATAGCCCTGACACAGAGCAATGGCGAGCAGGACCAAGAGAAAGCAGCGGGGTGGTCGCACTCTCAACGGTTCCATACTCCCATGTTTACAAACTCACGTGTAGCTCGTTGCGTAACACTAGGATAAGCCCACATTTTTCCTCTCGTCTGCTTCCTGTTGGCCAACCCGGGTAGTACAGCCACCACGTTCAAACCAGCTGATAGGCAGTAAAATCACCAGAAGTATGATACATATATTTCTACAATTTGTACAACATTTCTACACACACTACGATAATGTACGGTTTCCTGACCCCATTACAACATGTATGGTATACCTATAGTATATCTATAGTATATACATACTGTGGATGTGTTAATGTATCAATGCACCATCTAACGTTCTTTGAGTAATACTGCTTCATAAGCAATAATATATACGGTCGTCGATGATTGTGTTGTAGAAGCAGGTTGTCTAGATCCACATGCAGATTTTCCCTAAAAAATACTATTAGACACTATTACATGATGGATCTAATATGGAAGTTTATATTGTTGAAATTTTAATTACATGTAAAAGAATTTATCACAGCATGCTGTTCTAAAAAAACAAAACAACAAAACCCCAATTAAAGTCAAAACATAACTCGACATAATCTTCCCGTAAAACTTGACAAAACCTCCCTTCCACGATCACTGCTGTTCTGTCTGTTCTCCGCCTACTCTATTTTGGATAAATAAAATAAATGGTTTTAACCTCAGCACACACCTCACACCCCACTTCATTTATCTATCACAAACACAGCGCGTGCCTCATACACAGTGGTACAGCTGAGCCAAACCTGTCCACAGAGCTACCTCTGAACTGCCCTCAGTTAGTCAACCTTATCATTTCTGTCCATGTACGGAATAAAGGAGCATGTGCAGCATTCCTCGTACAAAGTGCATGAAATGCCATTCATTTCAATGTAATAATTAAACCTCATGAAAGGAGGCTTTGTTCATATTGATGGACACTTACCGATGGAGCTAGAACAGTCTCAAAAAGAATAAATACTCAAACAATGATTCACAAATGTATGCATGTGAAGATATTTATTAGTTTCATAAAATACATTTGTGAATTTGTGTATTTATTCTTTTTGAGACTGTTCTAGCTCCATACTAATCAGGGGCATTAATACAAAAAGAAATCAACTAAATTGATGTTTTTATTAAACAAAGCAATAGCATCTGTGCCTTGATGAATCTGATAAGACCTTATTCACAAATACTCAAAAGTGATATTGGAGAGGATCGTATTGCACTTGTCAACATTTACTACATCTCTCAACCATGACTTACCCTCATATACAATTAAACACCAACACCACGTCCACACGTTGGCGCTGTCGTCAAGCACACAGCCAATCGATCTTAGTGAACGGGGCATTCGGCCAATATTCCCTGGGTAACTGTCACTTTTCCTCCTCAGTCCATAGCTTTGTCACTCCAGGCCATTGACTTCCTCTTCGCCAGTTCCATCCAAAAGGGCGGAGCATTGTCCGACATGGACTGCAGCACTGAGGACTGGGTGGGCAGCGATGAACAGACCACATTTTTCCTGAGCCATTTGTCCTCACGGGATCTGTCCGGAACTGAATCTTAACACCAGAAATAAAATAAATGAATAAATAAATATATGGCATATCACGCTGAGGTTACACCGCATACACACCTGAAAGTTTAACCCCTTGTTTCCACTCTGGTTTGGCGCCTACGCACGAAGATGTTCTAACCAATTTCATTGGCTGCTCTGGACTCTGTGTATCTGTTTGAGCTCTCTTCGCATCTACCTGAGAAAGGAGAATGACACAATAGGGAAAATCATTAGAAACAGATCATTAGAAACAGATCTTTTTTTTTAAAATGTATTTTCTATTGGAGCATGGGAAGAGAAAAGGATACATTTAGTAAATTTCTGGTTTTACTAAAGGAAAACTCTGGTGTAATGGGTATTTATCTGGTTTTACTAAAGGAAAACTCTGGTATAATGGGTTGTTCTTGTTCATAGAAACAAACCTCTGTGGTTGCAGTCACAGTGGTCCACTCTGCCCTTTTGTGTAGAAAAGCTGCCCTCTCGCTCCCTGGACGATCTCTAAGTGCTCGCTTTGCCAAGGGTGTGGAAATGTTTTCCTGCACAATGACTTCTTTGTCTTTGTCTCTCCCCAAAACAGATACTGGGCTAGGAGGCGCTGTGGTGACTGAGGTTGTAGAAACTGAAGCAGTAGATTTGAGTTGGTTGGTTGGTTGGAGACCTCTGATGCTCCAAGGAGGCTGCTGCGTGGCGTTCTGGCCTGACGACAGGGAAGACGGTGCAGAAGACTGAGTAGCACTCTCTCGTGCAAGCGGAGACGAGATCTCGGTTTGTTTGGAGATTTGAAAAAAAGACTGGGTTGTCCACGGCTTGTTCTGGTCAAGCGGATGAGACGAACAGTGCGTTGGACCTGACTGTGTCTGTGACTCAGTGGTCTGAGGTGATGTTTGGCTCTCGGGAAACAACTTTACCAAAGCAGATGCAGCTGTCTTTTGTTGCAGTGGCACCAGTGACGCTTTGACAGTGTGCGCTGGACATGAACCTTGCACTCTTGCTGCTTTCACTGCGGCAGTTGGTGCTTGATTCACAGCCTGTAATGTCACAGTTGAACTTTGTTGCAATTTCACAGCCTGCACTTGTGCACTGGTCTGGACCTCTGTTTGCTGCGGTGGCTGTGCTTGTGTTTGGACTCTGGTTGTCTGCGTGCCTGTGATGTCTCTGGGTAATCTGCGGGCCAGCAGTTGCTGCAAGCCTTTGGTCTTCTCCACGGCGAGGCTCATCCAGGACACTTCGGTCGATGCCGTCTGGAGGGCAGGTGGATCTTGAGGCACGGAGGAAGAGGTTTCTGTCTCTCTGATGTCAGAAACCTTTGCTCGTGCTACTGTAGGGTTATTACAGGAGGTTCCTGGAAGGGTTGGATCTAGGGAATGATACAGGTCTGTTAGACACACATGGCTGCCTTGGTAAAATTAGTCAGGATGACATCTTAATGAGTACAAAGGTCCATAGTGATCAGTTTAAATCTTATCACTCCCTGGTGATTATTTACCATGTGAGACTTATCTACACTCATGGTCAACGGGGTGTGTATTGGTGCACTATTCTAAATTACTGTAAAATCACCTTATGTTGCTATGCATTATAATTGATCCACTTTAGCAGCAGACAATCAGCTCACCTGTGACTGTGAAGTCGGTGCCGGTGGTGGTGGATGACGGAGGGATGTTGGCTGGTGTTTCTTTGGACATGTAGACTCCATGTTCACCCACGCCCTGTGTAGTTTGCTTGTCCAGTTGGTCTCCACTAGCAGGGCGATATCTCAGTGACTGGGAGGTTGAGCGTAGTTTAATACCAAATGCTTGTTTATCCACAGCTACTTCAACTTCCTCCTGTCTGGACTCCGACCCCTGCCCAGTTAAAGTGCCGGTGCCTGCAGCTGCAATTTTAGATGCAAACACCAATACAAATTCGTCTTTCTTCTCCTGGTTGTCCTTCCTTTCCCAGGAGTGATCAGAGCTTTTGGGAGCAGCTCCCTCTTGTGTCAGCTTTCCTACGGTAAACGTGCTTCCTCTGGGCTGCGGGTCTCTCAGCGACACCTTTTCCTTCAGACTCGATGTAAATTTCTTTTCTGTTCCCGTCTTGTGTTTGGACTCAGGTTGCTCCACTTTTCCAACAAAACTGCTCGAGCGGGGTCGCTCTAGATGTTGGCTTTTGGCTGAGGTTATGGAGAAATGAACAGAGGCAGCTCCAGCTCCAGGTCTCTTTGGAAAGTTGATGCTTTTGATCTCTTCCTGAAGCTGCTTGTGAGCAGCAGAGAGTTCGAATGTGACGTGTGAGCCCATGTCTGTCGGCTCCTCAGTTATTTTAATTGTATTCTTCTTTTCATAAGAACTAACTTGTATGTCAAACCCCGCCTCTCTTCTGGTTTTAGGTTCTGACACCACGGAAGAGTTCGACTTTTCACTGGATGTTACATCCACCGCTCTCTGAGGCTGCGGTCTCAGGACCTGTGAGGAGACCAGGGCTAATACCCTGGTCAGGGCAGGTTCCTGCAGGTGTGAGGTCTGACTGTATGAATCGGTTGCGACTTGGGATTTGGAAGGAAAATGTTGCCTTGTGGCATAAATATCAACGTCTCCTTCTTCTTCCAGTGTTGCTTTTTCTTGGCTATAAATATAATTTTTTTCTTCTCCTTTCACCGAATTAGTCTGAAAAAAAGAAGAAGAAAAAGACCAAGGTTATGGAGGACGAGGACAATAGCTTATATTTGAAGGGTGCTAAGGGTTTGGTTTCACTCACAGGAGCCACTCTCTTCTTGGTGCTGGCCCTCTGGTTTCGGGGCTTGACAGACATGCGGTGGCGGGCAGCAGAAGTGTCCAGGCAGGTGGTTGAATAAGGAGGAGAACTGAAGTCCAGTGGGGGCTCCGAAGCACAGGTACGAGAGGTGGGGAAAACAGGTAAAGGATGAGACGGAAATGATGGGGGGCACTTGGTCAGTGCAGGTGAAAGGGGACGAGACGATGCCTGAGACGTGACCAAAAATGAAAAAAAGCAACTAAATGGCTGCACAGTCTTTGAGGTCTGAGACTCTTCACCAGGACAACAGTCCTCCAAGGTTCATTCATTTACCTTACTGATGGATTCCTGGCCTGGAACGTCACTTCCTGTCACCTCTGCAGATCTGTATGAAGAATACTCATCCTTCGAGATGACTGCTGGACGTCTGATCGGCAGAGCTAAGGGTGGTGGCCCCAGGCGCAGGTTCTGCTGCTGGAGCTTCAGCTGGTAAAACAATTCACAGCTGTTCAAACACTGGCTTCAGTATGAAAAGGCGCAGGGTGTTGGAAAGGTCTAGAACATGTGGTTCAACCTGAAGAGCTTTGATCTTGCTGTTGACATTCTCCTGCGATAAGACCTTGGACGGTTCAGGTTCTGTCAGGACGTTCTCCTCCATGAAGATACTGTCATGGGACAATGCTCGAGATCCCATACTTCCCTGAGAGGATCTGGGTTAACAGAAATGTGAAAAAGCTAAATGTTTCACAGATTAGAAGATTATAAATAAATAAAATAGAAAAATTAGATTTTTTTCCGACACTTACAAATCATCATCCGATCCATGTTCCTTTTCAGCGTTGATGTCACTGGCCGACTGGCTGAGTTTAGTGACTGTCGCTCTCTGGCTTCTCCCAAAGATACGGGTTTTGAGGGACTTGCCTCTGGACTTCTTGTATTCTTGGAGAGAATGTGATGAAGAACAGACCAGGTCACAGACACACACACACACACACACACAACAAGCACTCAGTAAAATCTATCATCTATTGACTTGTGTGCGTGACATCAGACATTCTGTCAGTTTATCACCGAAAGAATTTGCATCAGTCACATGGTTTAAAACAGTCATAAAGTGTGTGTGTGTGTGTGGGGGTGGGGGTGGGGGGTATAAGGAGCCAGTGTACAACAAGCACGTGTGTTTCCTCCATGTCGTTCTCCATTAAGTCCACGTTAGAGCTGTTACATGTCAAACTATCAAACTGGAGCATGAAGACCACGAAGAATGACTTCAGCTACAGCAATTTTACATGAGCCACAAAGGTTGTCTCAAAAATGTTTGTTTCTCTATTTGTTAAAAAAAATCAATCAACAGAATTGAAAGTAAGTCAGAGCTAGAACAGAACAAAACAAAATGTCCAAAGTAAACAAGTATATCTGTGGTTCTCAAACATTTTCAGCAGCGCCACCTTCTGTAGCCAGCTATGGTATTGAATCAAAACTATCACAATCAGAGCAATTTTTTTTTTTCTTTTTCAATTTTCTTTGCTCCTGGAGGGCATACTGTCACTTTGGGCTAGCTTGAGGTAGCTAAACATTAGCCAACACATATTTTTAATTAGTCAAAGTTATCTTTATATGAAGGCAGGAAGAACTGGAATGTCAGAGTATAAGAATAAAGGTAAAATGTGGTTTCAAATTTGAATTAAATCTTAAATCTTACAGGACACCATGCAAATGAGATGAAAACAATTCATTCAAACATTTCCTGTAAGAAGAAGCGCCTTCCCTCCCTGTCAGACATTAGGACGGGTCGTCTCACCAGCGGTGTCTTCACAGCTGTCGTCTACGTTCTCAGACGAGGAGTCCATCAGTCCGACTGGCGCAGGGAAAAACACAGGAGCTCTGTCAGCATGCAGTCGAATGTCAGGAGAAGTGCACTCGCACCAGCTCAAGGAGGCGACACCAGACCTGAGGGTCAAAGGTTTATTGGCGTTATCCAGAAGAGAACAAGCCTTCACCGGAGTAGTCGGGTGTGGTGTAAAAAACTCTGTCTTCAGCAACAAAGACAACTGAACCGGAGCAGATTGCACAAATACAACATGCATTTAGTGCAACATCATCAAAAACACACGAATGGAGAAAAACAGTATGTAGGTTAGAGAGGAGGCGTGACTGGTTCTTACAGTAAGTGTGTCATAGCAGGGTGCAGGCTGGGATTAAAGTACAAAAAAAAAAATCAAATATTTCTCTTATTCATGCAGAGCTTGTGTGTCAGACATCCAGACCTGGCTGCTGCGTCTACGGATGCAACAAAGCTTGTTTGCTCAGTTTTACAACCTTTGTTTCGTACATTGCCCTGGTGATACACTGGGAAGACTTGAGAAATGACCAATGAAACCTGGTACCTGATGTGTCAGGTCAAAAAAAAAAAAGAAAAAGAAGTGTATATTAATATGCTCAGGTGCAGTATGTCCTCCTTCATACGCAACAAAATATTACAAGGGAGAAAAGTTGTGGAACCCTTTGGTGACATCTACAAGGAGCGTGACCTCCTTGAATCGGGTCGTTACTGAACCACAGAAACACAGGATAATCTCTTGGATTATTGACATAGGCAGAGATCTACATGAGACTTAATAGCACCATAATCTACAACAACAGCATAATCACCAACATCTTACTCCACACATGAAATTCACCTGACGACCACAAGAAAAGTACTTCTGCCCTTAACACACACACACACACACACACACACACACAGGGACTCCAGTACCAGTCTCCAGAAAGATCGGTGAATCCACCTTCTCAGAGCAGTGACAGCAGCAGCTGTGCTTCTTGTCCTCTTATTTGTCCTCCTCTCCCCACCTCCTCCTTTCCCTCCAAAGGGCAGTTGTCCCCCGTCCTTAACGTTTAGGCTTGCGTCACACACATCTGCGGATGGAGGAAGATGCAGGTAATGGAAATAAAACAGGAAAACAAAACAGAGAGAGAGAGAGAGAAGGTCACTTCATGACAGAGTAAGCAAAAGCAGGAGCACAAAGAGAAAAAGAGGACAGAAGCAAGTGAATCAGTGGAAGAGAGAGAGAGAGAGAGAGAGAGGGAGAGAGAGATACTCTATTACATTAGTGGCACACTGTGGCCCTTTGCGCTAAGCTCCTTATAAAACGCTAACCTGATTTTAGGCCCAGAAATGAGAGTAGAGAGAGAGAGAAAAAAATTAAAGCTCTACTTGGAAAGAGGACAGGAATTACAGCCTGTCAAGCTGTTTACATATTATACTATGTATGACCACAGAGGTGACTCAGAGTGTGGTGTCTGTGGAAATATGAATAATATCAACATGTTTTCAACGGTGCGTCCATGAATGGAGGTGTCAGTGTGACTTATAGGACAGGCAGTAATACAGTACTTCATAGAAGGGCTACGACTGCAGGTACGGGGTTTTTTGGTGGAGGACTGTCTGACTTTGATGTTTTTCACTGTTATGTGCAACACATACATCATCTGCTTCTCTGCAGCTTTGTCAGTGCTGTACAAAAACAAGAAACTATTTCAAACATTATCGTTGCTAAAGATGCAGCTTTTTCCCTTATATTTACAGTATGTGGCCCAACAGAATATTATTATTAAATTCTATGGTTATAATAATAATAATGTACATTTTATGCCATCACATTGTATGATAATGTATTATATGAAATACACCAAGTATCACACCAAAATATGTTTTAATAAATACAAGAAATGTATCGCATGGATTGTTACTTTATACACTATGTTATGTTTTGTTACGGTATGATATGCTAAATTGTATTGTATTATACCATATAGTATCATATGGAATCATAAAATATTAAATACCTTAAGATTATTGGTCTAAAACAAATGTGTGGAAACAGCTGATTCATTCTTCAGGATTATTCTTTGTTTGCATGAATAACTGGGTAACTGTAGTGTTTTCAAACAGCGCTATGATCAGATTATCTTCCAGCGTTAATCTGAGCATACAGAGTCTCATCTGTGCTCTGATGGGTGAAAGATTATAATCCACCAGGGAATCACTGTAACCCAAGATTTAGTTTCATACTACTGCATACCCCAGACTGACATTCCATATGATTTTAAACTGCAGCACAAGTGATGTGACGTCTGTAATCCACACTGTACAACAAGGCAATGAGACCCACAAAGAGTTCAATTAAAGTGAAAATCAGTTCATTAGGACACACCAGTTTCAAATGAAGATGATGAACAGATTTTTACAGAAAAACCCTTAAAATATACCTCTAACATATACTGTTAAAAGACAAGACAGAGATAATAATTAATATTGCCCACAATTTAAAAAGTGCATTTATTAGTATCTGGGTACCACAGTGAAGCTAAAAAGATTTAAAATTTAAAAGACTGTAAATCTTGGACGTACAATAACATGTTGACCCAGACATGCCTGAGGAGTCTCTCACCATTTAGGAACAGTTTTACAGAGACATTTAGTCTTAGTCATTGTAGGTTAAAAAAAGGCCGATCTGTATTTTAACCTTAAATCACAAAACATATTAATTCCAGAAAATAAAGTCCCCATTGTGTTTGTTGTGCCGATAAAATGTTTCCAATCCAGCTGGTTCAAGCAGAGACATTTGGGTTTGTCTTCCAAAAAAAAAAAAAAAACTCTGCTGTATTTCCATCAAGCGTTGGAGAATCTTATTCTCATGTCAGACATCAGTAGTTCCCACTGTAGCTGAGCTCCATTAAAAAAACACAACACCACACACCTGTTTCTCAGTGCAATATTCCCAAAACGATGGTCCAGTTTCTCTGGTGGTTTTGTTCATCTCTGCAGCTGTGGTTTCTTCCTCCTTTTCACATGTTCTCCTCTTCCAAAGCCACAATCACACGTTTATTTCTTTCTCATGGACTTTTCCCTTCTGGGATCTCACTGCGTTTTTGTGTGTTTGGTGTGAAAAATATCAACGGTGGTCTCATGGCACTGCCTGAGGTCGTAGTCACAGTATCCAACTGAGAATCGGCCCTGGAGGAAAAGACATGATTCACAGATGTATGTTTCTTTTTCTTCGTTTGTTTTCTTTTAACTTTATATCCGTTTAAAATGTGTTTGAGTCTAAAGTTAAGAAATGAGAATAACATTTAGATTTAGATTAATGTATAAGTCTGACTGCATTCTTCAGTGGCACGTACCTTAGGTTTCTTGAAGTAGTCCAGCCCTCTTCCTATCTTTATGATCCAACCGTTGTTGAACCTACAACATACAAATCAAGTTGTTAGCTCCTGGTCATGGGCAAAAACTGAACGTGAAAATCATGGTAACGATCTGCCGCGGCACTCCTACGACACCTGATCTCCCTGTCATGGATGGTGGAGGAGAACTGCAGATCCAGAGTCACTCCATGACCACTGAGACTCTCTGTCAGCTCAGTCAAAGCACTGCTCTGCTGTGTGCTGTCCGTCTGTGGGACAGGAGAGAGACAGACAAAGTTCATTTTAAACCAAGCAAGGGTCGTCATTAAGCAGCGTGAGAGTGTGTGCTTCACCGACGTACTTCATCCTGAGAAGTGAGGAGGTGGATGTTCTTCACTTTGCACTGCGCCTTTAACAGCATCTCGCAGAAACGTACAAAGTTGTACAACTGTATGGGTCAGACAACAGGCACAGAACAGTTCAGGGACTAAAAGTATCACTCTGGAAGACAGAAGGTGGAGTTATGGTCTGTTGTCATTTTAATGAATAAAAAAAATAAATATGACTAACATTAGGATGAACCTGAGGTTTATTAAGGTCTCACCTGGTGAACGTGTCGTATGTATGGATCCTCCACCCACACCTCCGAGAGTGAACCGCTGATGTACGGTTTAAAAAGAGCTTCGTAACTGTAACCAGTGGCATCCTCTGATATTTTAATTTGCTCATGGTACTTCCCATCTAGAATGGTGACATCATAAACAACAACATCATTGACCTGAAATATTTATAAATAATTCAGATTTCATCACAGCTTTAATACTTCAGTAACAACAACAAGAATTTTCTTTATTTAGTCCAGAGGACCAGATTCTCTCAGACTGGTGATAAAATCTACCTTCCTTCATCTGGTTCACATGGGTTTTGATTTGCTCCGCTCTGTCCATATAGCTCTTTATCCTCCCTCTGTAGTGCTCTCTCTTGTCACCTTTCACTGCTGCAAGCAGAACAAATATGACGTTAAGTCACAGGTGTCAAACTCAGGCCCGGGGGCCACACCTGGACCACGCTGCAATTATATTAGGCCCGCGAGATCATATCAAATGTGTACTAGAATTGACCCGCCAGTGAACACGTCACAACCACACAGTATCGTAACTTCAACAACTTATTGTAGTTAATAATATGGTATCAACCAAACATGGTGACAAGGTTCAAGGACCTTCAAGGTTTCAACATAATGTCAAGACAAAACTTTATAGTTAAATTTGTGCATTTTTCGAGGCATGGACCTTTCAACACATCCATCAGAAGACTGATCCCCTCCTGGTAGCAGACCAGGGACTCCTGGAAGCGGCCGCTGTGGTCCAGTTCCACCGCCCGTTTAAGGACAGAGATAGCGGATGTCTCCATTCCTGACACATGGTTCTCTGACATCTTACTCTCAACTGGGAAAATGCAGACAATTGGTCTTAAAGTCCTCGGGGCAAATGCTTCACTTATTTAAGAAAAGCTGAAATGATTAGTCTGGCTTCCTTGGTAGTGCGCCATGAAAATACTTCCGGGAGAAACATAAAGCTACAAACTTTTTTTCCAATATCTATGGTTCCCCTTCGTTAGAAATATTTTTATTTTCTCAATATTTCAGTTGATATGGTAATAGAACAAACGACTCAGCATTACCTGGGATTCAAAACATAAAAACAAAGAACAAACAAATAAACATAATGGTTTGTTTCTGGTTTATATCTGATGCTGTAGGAACAGTTTGTAAGGAGTTTGTGTTACATCGGTGAACTTTTACTGTAACTCTTCGCAGATTTCCGGCTTTGACGGTCATGGGTGACAGTAACGTGAAATCATAACGCCGTATATTATTTAAAGCTCTGAAAGTAATGTATGGGCAAACCTAGTACTTTTGATTCTATGATTATATTATAAATGTTCGCAATTTAAAACTGCGTTTAATCTGATAGGATTGGCGTTCGGGGAGGCGCAGTATAACCTTGGCTTCCTGTCGCCAGCGTTGCTGTAGAAGAGTGGACGTTTAATTAAGAAGGAAACATGTCTCTTGCCAGTCGATGTTTAATGTCCTTGAATAACAAGGTAAGAACTTGTATTGAACATAATACGATTTTATTAATGAACCCTAATTTCTTAAATTCACATTTGTGTTCATCTATAGATGAAACATACCACAAATTACATTGAACATTACAAAAAGCCCCACTGTGTTGTATTTGGTCGTATTTACATTATTGTAAATATCGTATATTTACAATATAAAATAAATATATATTATATATTTACAATAAAATATCGTAAAAGTAGTAGGTTGCCACAAGGGGGGGGGCAGTGTTCAATACTGCTTAATGAGTGTTGGTAAAATAAGAGCACCCGGAGTTTTTTACGAACTAAAAGAAAATTACTTAAAATTTCGCTTAATTTATCGCTATCTGATCGTCATATTTTTAGTGCAGAAGTTGTCATGATTTTTTTCACAGTAAGTCATTACCAATAGTTTAAAAGTGTTGACATATTAAGAGCAGAGCCACTGGTATTATTCCAACAAAATAGCATTATTATTGTCATTACAAAATAACAAAACCTGCTCCCAGTCCAACACTTGTGTTTTAAATGTTTTTTCTTTGTGTTTTCAGATCCTAAAAAATGCCACACGTTTACCAAGTCCTTGGTATGTGTCCGCACACAGCAAAACTACTAAAACAAGAGTTCAACCAGAGGTAATATTTACAGCACAAAAAGGTTGTGCCCATGCCATGAACTGGTACATTTTACAATGTGTACTAAAGTTCTTCCTATTCAAAGACTCTCCTTTCTGTTACAGTATTTTGAAGAAAGATCAAAAGACCATGAGAAATATGGAGGGGATCCAGAGCAGCCTCATAAACTACACATCGTGACCCGCATCAAAAGTCCAAAAGGAAGACCGTACTGGGAGAAGAACATAGTGAAATACCTGGGGCTGCAGAAGGTGTGTGCTAATGTCTTTTGTTCCCTCTGCATGGTTTCAAGGGCAGTTATAATAAATTTGAAGCTCCATTAATGAACCTTTATTATTTTTAGATGTACAATAAATCATCTTTTGGTTTCGTTTCCTATTAGGTAATATTTAGCATTTTATTTAAAGAAAAACTTTATTGTTTTTTATAATAATTTTCACTTCCATTTAGACCTACTTTAAGATATTCTAGGTTCCTCACTGGTATAGATGAAAACAAAAACAGCAGAGACTCTCAGAATAAACCTCAGCTATTGTTCTCTCTATAGGCTAATACTCCTGTGATTCACAAAAACACACCTGCAGTCAATCACCAGTTAAAGTTTGTCAAGCACCTGGTAAGGTAAGGTGTCCATGTGTTCTAATCAACATTTCTTAAACATCTTTTTAAAAATGCCTGGTTATGAATGGAAGTCTAAATGTTGAATTCTCATCATTTTGTTATTTTCCTGCTTTACTCAGGATCCAGCCTCTGAAGACTCCTTATGGACTCCCTGACGAACATGACATGGCCAATACCTACATTAACACCAAAGGAGAGCTGATCGTCTGTCGTCTCCTCAAACCTGAACCTCCCAAAGCCATTGATTCTTAGTGTGATTTTCAATAAATTAATCAGATTTTCCAAAACATGTTTAAATGCAGTTTGTTCAAACTGTCAGCTGGTGGCCCGCAGGTTAAACGTGGCAAAATTAACATTCCTAAAAGCAATGAAAAACATCTTCATTGTGAAAATTCTAAAGTCAACCAAAATCCACACCAACACAAAAATCACAAGAGCTCAGAGTCACGTTTATATTTATGTATACTTTTTATTAACATCAGTCCAAGAATTGTCATGTGAAAATGTAATCTGTTGCTTACAGAAGTTATTGGCACTCACATGTGACATGAGAATCTGAGAAAAAAACTGAACTACATCTGAACCTAAATTTAATTTCCATGTCTTTATTTTTCATGTAAGATTTGTCAGATTCTACACAAGAAAAGAAAAGAAAACCCCTAAATCTCCTATTCTGCATCAATTCTGATCTGGTGGATAATAGACCTTCTAAAAATGTGGTTCAAAGAAATATATTTTTAAATAAAAGAATAAATCATATTGTTACTTGAGTAAAAAAGTGGAAGTGGAAAAACTAAAGTGGGCTTTTCGCTTCTCTCTTGATGAAATGACGTAGAGCCCTGAGAGAGAAAACCAGGCCAGTGTTTCAGTCGTCTGAATCTGAGTCACCTTTTCCTCTGATGGTTTTCTTCTCCAATTTTGTTAACTTTGACCTTGGCTTCTGTGACTGTGTGGGCGGTTCCATCAGGTTCCCACTGGCAAAGGAAAAAAAAAGAAATGATTTGAACAGAAATTCCAGATAGGTGTTATTAGAAACCAAGGAAAGGCCAGACGGTCTCACCGGTAGTCTATGACGTTTCCGCAGCCGAGCCTCCATTCCAACATCTCGGTGGAGAACTCGTCTGTGTTTCCCAGGTCACTGAATCCAACCACATAGTCCTTTGTTTTCCCGTCGATCACCAAAGCCAGCGTGGGAATGACTTTGATCCGTAGCCTCTCTACCAGAAATGGAGCCTTCTCCGCGTTCAGTTTGATGAATTTGGTCTCAACGTGCTTCTTCGCCAAAATGGCCAAATGTTTGTCCAGAATTCTACATCTAGACGTGAACAGGTCAGAGGAACAAAGTCAGCAGCTGATGACAAGCACTTGAAAAAGTGATAACATTCGGTTTATAATTTATCATTGAAATACCCATTTACAAGTGTATAAGTAATGACAAGTGTAATTAAAACATAAACCAAGCAACATCATGCAGGAATTTGTTCTGAAATGATTGAATAAAAATAAATACTTGTGGTTTGTTGTCAAGACATTTAAAGAGGTCATCTTTTAGAAGCTTGGGTGGGGTTGAGGGGGGCATTCCCTGATTTACTACTACTACTAGTACTACACTAGTGGGCTACTACTCAGTATGAACATTTAAGTGGTGAAACTAGTTGCTGGCCTAGGGTTCATGTGCAGCAGGCTGTTGCTGTAGCACACTGCGACTTGAACCTTATGGTTACACGTATTACAAATAGTGAGGATAGAGCTTTTTTTGCTCACTGCTAACAACAAGTTAGCTTCAAAATTTGAGTGCAAGCTTCATCACATGTTCTCCAACACAGAACGCATGCGCCAACTGCAAAACTGGTAATATGTCTTTTGACCAGGTGGTCGACGGTCACGACTTATCATGTTGGAAAGCACCCAGTTCCTAATCTGATCACTGACCAATATCAATCAGTGCAAGTTGACTAGATTATGGACCCCAGTCATCACCATAGTGAATATTGTAGGTTTTGCATACTTTACCTAAAGGTAGTGTTTTTGTAGAAGTGGCAGACAACATTGGGGGTATCCTTCACCTCGCTGAAAAAGTCTTTCTCATTTGCAATTTCTCTGTACTCGCCATGGCCTTTGGATAACCACTCCTGCAAAAACAATAGTAACCAAAGTCAGTAAAAAAAAAACACAACAGATCCTGTCACACGTATACAGAGACTTAGGGAACATTGTTAAATAATTAGAAAAAGGCTTTCAACACAAAAAAAAAACAAATACATTTCTTGTAATATAGTTGCAGAGGATTTTTTAGTTCATCCATTTACAACAAAAATGTCGCGAAACGTCCGACTTCACACCTCCTTCTGTTTCTGGGCTTTTCTTAGAGCCTCCAGCCTCCTCTCCTTCAGTCTCTCGAAATCGTCATCGTCCATTTCATTCAGTTTGCTGATTTGTGCGTCCACCTGCTCCTCTACCAACTTGGCGGACTGCTCCAGCACCTTTGCTATGATTTCCATTTGTTGCGAGGCCATGGTCGTCTGTTCAATGTAATCTAAAACACAGATGGGACAAGGTGAGCAAAGACATATTAAGACAACCCATTAATTACTGACCAAAAATAATTAATTACATATTAACTGCTCCATCAGATTACTACTGACAGGTCCACTGGTTTTCAACAGTCAAAGTAACCCTTAATTATTCAATACCTTCCCCCCTTTTAGTCGACTTTAAATATTTTGCTTTATTAGAGTTGCTTATTTATTTTTGTTCTATCATTAATTTGAATTGTACTGGCCAAACATTTTTCAAATAAAGTGTTATATAATAGATTTCCTTTGTACCTTTCAAATGTCAAAGGCAACTGAGATTCCCTTACATATTAACGTACATCAAGGAAGAAAATGCCAACTGCCGTTGAGACAGGTCTCGTTTAGACGGTTGGACCTTACAAGAACATAGAATGGCAATAAGGCACTGACAGGAAGCAATCTGCCTCAAAACGTCCCCAAAAAAGGTGACTTAACAGAACTGTTCTAGGCCACACACCTGGAATGAATTGCAGATATTTGCTCAAGTATTTGCTCTTGAGCTGGACGAGTTTTATTATTCAGACCTAAAACTGGTTTGATCAAGGTTATACTATTGTCTACTCACTTGTGGCAATGTAATTACAATATATAGTATATATTTATATATATAACAATATCATCTGTGGTTGATTAAAAATAATTTCTACAAGGTGCGAAAACAGTGGCATTATTGTTCACTCAAAAGACTTCTGTAGACATTCAGGTTAACCTATTTAATTAGATTACATTATATATGTATGTGTGTGAATATATACATGTATAAGTGTGTGTAAAAAAACCTGTTTGTTGTCCTCAAAAAAAAAAACACCTCGTCACCCCAACGTCATTAATTTTGTAGCTACACACCGTCTTTCACTGCGGACAAAGCCATAGTAACCAATAGACACGCCTTGTTTCTGACAGGCTGTTAGCGCTAACAGTATGACTTGTTACATCACGTCAGACTTCTTCATTTACAATAAAATCACTATTAAGCACAAATATAGTACAACGATTTGGAATTTAAGGCAACAGAAGAGAAAACCTCGTTGCGACCCAGTCTGATACGATCCCCTTAGCTTGTGACGCTAAGTTGCTAACCTTAGTAATGCAATTCTCGACGTTATCAACGCTAAGACCACATACATGCGAGAGACTAACAAACACAATTTACCTAAGGTCGGTAAATTTAATATTAATATCTCGTAAGTCGTAACTGACGTCAATAAATGGTTACCTTGAGTTGCTAGAACTGGAGGCTTCGTGCTCGAAATGCAAAACACCACCCCGGATATGACGCCAGTCTGTTCATCCTATCCTTCCCTGACTTCACACGCACAACCGGAACTTCAGATATCCGAGTGTAAAGTGAAGTTAAGACATTAGTTCCTCTCGTGTACTAATTTGATGTGAAACATGCAGAAAATATACAATTTGGAAATTATTTATTCCAAAATTGTTCATCATAATGTTTCAACAGATAACCAAATATGACATGCTAAATTAGGATTTGCAGAAAACGTCTGAATATTTTTTATTAAAAAATATATCAAAATGACATAATTAGATGAAAAACATGCAGACAATTTAAATTTATTTCCTCAAAATTTTTTATCATAATTTTTCTTCCAGTCGTCCCCAATGCTGCTTTCACTGCCCTCTGCTGAGCAGCTACTGAACCACAATGCTGATCAGTAGCTGTTAGGGGAGATTGGCATGATGCATGTTGCTAAGGGAGAAAGAAGTCTTTGCTGTGCCTTCCCCACCTGATGAAAGATATTTGTGGACATGGTTAGGTTAGTGGAGATGTTGACTCCAAGAAACTTGAAAATCTCCACCCTCTCAACGAGAGAGGTAACGTCTAACAGCCCTAAAATGCGGACGTTGTGCGCTGAAGTTCAGCATGTATTTTAAGTAACCTTCAACCCAGCATCTTATTTTCAGAGTTCAAAATGTACACTTTGTTTTTGTTGTATGCAGAAATAAAATGGAGTTTATTGAGATCATATATGCAACACACTCATTTTTTATACATAGCATAAATGTTATTGAGACAAAATAGTTTTCAGACCAATTATGTCTCATCGGTTAATTTTGGATTAATTTTAAGACAACAGTTCTGCACTAAGGATGCAATGATGCATCATGAATCGGTTAAAATTGATACAAATCTGTGAAAATTCAAATCGGTTGAAAATAATAAAAAACGATTATACATGGTGTATGGAGTAGGCTGCGTTATCTCAAAACGTCAGTGGTCATACCAGGAAACTACACACTCTAAAACAACAGGTGGCGGTGATTGAGCAGAGATTGTTTTTTATCACCACATCCTCTCGACTCCAAAAAGTATTCTTTAATCCAATCACCAGCTTCTCCTCCTCCGTTTATGTGGCAGATGGAAAAAGCACCTGTCCCCCTCCCCCTAAAAATGTTTTAAGGGCACAAATGCTCCTCTTGTTTCTGCACGCAGGGAGGAAAAAGACATTCCAGAACCACAGGCCAGTTTCCACTTGGAAAAGTTTCTGCTGCCGCCCACTACTCCCTTCTACTTCTTCTCTGATATGTCAAGGGTTTTCTGCTCACTCCGGATTTTCATACAACTCTGCACAAACAGTGGGTGAGTGGGCACAAAATGGTACCGCAGCGGCTGCACCTGAGGACCGTCGGACTGATGGTCATGCTGACAGTGTTCACCCTGGGAGGTGAGATCATTCTTTCAGTTTGCTGTGGTGACTCATGTTTCCGTCCTCCTCTCATCTGTGTCAGGTTTTGTGTCAGTACTTTATGCAGATATCACCTTTAGAATTCTTCAATGTTAGGACATAAAGAAGGAGCAGATGCTCATTGAACAATTCCAGATTGACACTTTGGTCTTATTCAGTTGTGAAAAAATATGTTGTTGATTTTTTTTTTCCGCCTTGAACTTCTGGTGCACTGCTTATGTTTAGTTTTGAATCTCCAAGGACTTGAATGAAAGTGAAAAGTTGCAGAGACTTTAACGTCACAGTTGTCATAGCAACACACTGTAAAGACTCATATTATTTATTTAACAGAATTTTCCCTGTGTGCATCACAGGTTTTCCTGTATTTTTGCAAAAAAGAGAATATTCAAAATATTGCAGAAATAGACTGTTATTTTAATCTGTCAAAAGTAAAATAACAGTAACAGACCGTAACTGAAAAAATGCAAAACAATTTCAATGAAAATAAATAATCTTTTTTATATTAAGATACTATTAAAATACTTAATGGGAGGGGTTTTCTTTCCATTTTTACAGTACTTTTTAGCATCTGAGCTGCTGGAATATACAGTGCAGGATATTCAGTTTTCTGTAAACGATAGATGAAGAAGAAGAAGAACCCATTCTAAAGATCTTACGTGACAGAGCAGGTGAAGACCCTCGGGCAGCCATGTTTCCACTGAAATAAGAGTCTCAGTCTCAGGGCGACTCCTGAGCCCAGAGCTCACTGAGTTTCCTGTCAACGCAAGTCAAGTTTATTAGCGTATTTAAAAACATTTTACAGTTTGCTATAGGTTTGAACTCACAACCTTTTTGTCTGATAATAACAACCAGGTTGCATGGAGCCATTGACAAATAACAGTGAGTCGTCTGCAAACGTTTAACCCAAACACAACATAATAATGACATGTGGTTCAGATTAGACAGCGCCGTACAGAACCATGTCATGTGACTTTAATTATCCGTGTACAGTTTTTCACAACAGTCAATCATCAGTCTGTTGTGAGCACAAACTGTAAATCATTATTTAAACAGACAACTTAACCATTCTCTGAGACGCTGACTCTTAGTTCAGAGATCAATAAATAGTATCAGACATGAGAACGAGGCTCAGTCATTCACACACACGTTGTTGGGAAACAAAGAATCATCAGTTCCACATGTAGAAATATGTAAAAATAAATAAATAAGGCAGAAAAGCCACGGCTCGCAGACAGACTGGTTGAGATGCAGGAATTTTCCGTTCAAGGCTCATTTGGTAAACAAACAAACAAACAAACGCCTGGAAGCAATTTCCTCCGCCTGTATTTTCACACTTCATCCCAGGGTTTTATAAACTCCAGCTGGGACTCGTTTAACTGTAAGAAAATGACTGAGTTCATTAGAAATAACAAACTTCAACACTAAACACGAGGTGTCACCACGACCATATATGGAATAACCAACTAACAGACATTGCACGTATGGTTTTTCTCCGTGAGTTATTTGAAACATTTTGGTTCACCAGTATTTTAAAATTTACTTTTTACACATTGACATATTAACCTGTTTTTTCTATTTCAAAACACTTTGGAAACATTTTGAAGACCTGTTTTTAATGACATTTTTGACTGAATCGACACATTTAGACCTTTTTGGATTTCAAATGTTCATCACCCTAAATACATTTTGACCCTGTTCTTACCTCACGAGAGCATCTAAAGAGCGCCCTGCTAGGTGTCTGAGATGATTTCAAAGAATTAACTGACCCTGGTTCAAACCACTAAACTGATTAGATCCACGGTTAGTTAATGCTTGTATTGTTGGAGCCCTTGACTTTCACAGGTCCTTGCAGTGGAAATTAGCATTTAAGGTCAGTGCAACCCAAAAATAACGACGGTAACGTGGTGAGTAAAATAGGATTATCATTCAGCTATTCAACTATAACCTTTAACCTTTACTATTACTGAATTGATTACAATTAGACACACATGAGTTGTTCTCTCATTGATTTCCTACATAGGAAGAAAAAGGTTCTTCTTCAATTACAAACACCTGCGAAAGAAAACACTAATTATGTAGGAGAGAATGTCCAGTTTTAGCCAGCTATTCTTTTTTTGTTAAAGACTATTCTTCCAACTGAGGCTAACGTCATGCACATTTTATCAACAGTTGTTGATATTTCGGTCACATTTTTCCTCCAAGTTGGTGCTAATTTCTTTAGATTATAGAGCCTAGAATTTTGTGCATGATGTGGCAGCGGGTGTAAACAAAAAAAAAAAAAAAGAAGAAAAAGAAAAGAATTGGCAGTGTGACAAATACCTGGAATTTGAACTAAACACAACTCTGCTTTCCCACAGCATCAGATGGAGGCACAGACAGCAGCTTGTACAAGATCTTGAAAAAAAGAGAAGGTAAGTAATGGTATATATATATATAAAAGTTTTATAAATATTTCTATTATTTAAATCCAGTCCTCACTCCTAGTCCTTAGTGGTCCTGACACTCTGTGGCGCTGTTTCGCTCACTGTCCCTCTCTTGGTTATTTTACCTATTTTAATAACAATAATATAACATGTTTTTTTAATTATTATTTTATATTATCAACATATAGGTTTATATCTATGTTTTTTATGTTTAGATTGGGGGAAATTTCAATTTAATTCATTATTAGTATATTTCCGGGGGGCTGGAACTAATTAATTGGTTTTTTAGTTATTTTTAATGGGGAAAATGCAATCGACACTCGAGTGCTGTTGTGGAACAGATTAAACTCGTATCTCGAGGCCCCAATGTATTTATATATATTTAAAGTATTGTTTGGTTTTTTTTATTTTATTTTTATCCAGCAGGGGGACCCAGTGCTGCGCTGCCAAAGTCCTCAGTTGCTGTGCCTCCGTCCAAGGCTCAGGAGTTCCTGGCAAAGCTGAGCAGAACCAAGAGGAACATCTGGGATCGCAGCAGACCAGACGTGCAGCAGTGGATTATGCAGTTTATGTACATGGGCTATGACGAGCAGGTGTGTTTGAACAGAGAGCTGTCACTTCAAAGAAAAAAAAAATTAAGGAAAATGGCACTAATGTTGTAAACTGTGAGTGAACAATTAAAATGGTTATTTAGTGGCGACCCCTGAAGGGAATTATTTATATGAAACAAATGATTCTCACTGGTTGGGGTTATTTCTAATGTATTATTGAGTGAATCATTTTACTGCAGTGAGATGTAAACCTGATCTCTAATGGAGACTGAAATACAGGGACAAGATGGACAGTGCAATCATCCTGAACCAGGGTGGTCGTCTGTTAGAATATAACAGAGCAGATGATTCATGATCCGGGGAACTCAGCAGTTCTGTCTCTCTGAGGGACACATGCATAACGCAATCTCAGGACCCAATGTCAATTTACTTTCAGGTCAGCAACTGTCCTTTAGAATCCAGCTGGGACGAAGAGAAACAGATAAAAATGTTAGAAAGGTAGGAGCAAAGTGTTGGGAATAACTGCCTCTGACATCTGACAGCATTGGTGTTTTAGCTGCTGTAACTGTCTCTCTTCGACAGCCTCACGTCCCCAAACCATATTTGCCTCTGCTTCCTTAAAAGGCCAGAGCTGTCAGAGTACTGCCCTTTTCAGTGTTTACCTTCTATATGTGTGTGTGTGTGTGTGTGTGTGATTGGGTGTGTGTGTGTGTGTGTGTGATTGGGTGTACAGACAGAGATTGTTCTCTCTGGGTGTTAGCTTTCGCTGCAGGAAGTGCACGTTCGGGTCAGGGGGAGATCTGAGCGCGCTCAGTCTGTCCACATCTGTTCAAATACCAGAGACCCTCCAAGTCACACAGGAAACGTGTGCACGTACGTGCGTGTAGATGCCACATAAGCCATTCTTTGTCAAAGCAATTTCTTTATCATAAAAAAGATTTGACCTTTGACCTGCGTTGACCAGGTTCCCACAGTAAATACCAGGAGGGAAACTGGTCGTGTACCTGCTGTAAACAGGTCAGTCTTTCTGAGGCTCCCCCTACTGGCTAAATACTGTTCAGAGTTAGAGGGAAAAATAAGGACTTTTCTAGGAAGTATTCATTTTTTATTTATCATCTGTTCTGTATCTATTAATATGATGACTTCCCTAACAAGTCACATCTGCGCTCTTATTCCCATCACCAGAGGCTGGAGACAGATCTGGCCTACTGGAGGGACCAGACACGCGCCACTGACCAGGGGCGTCAACATCACTACGATGAGAACTCGCCCATCGGCCCCCGGGACCACAGCTCTTACAGACACGGTGCAAACGTCAACTATGACTACTATTAACCTCAGGTCAACAACTAAAAAAACAGAGGGCACTTTGTGTAACCAATATTTTTCTAAGACAGTTTGACACCTCTGCTCGTTAACAGTGAGGCCATTAATCCTCCACTGATGAATTGAATTTACTCTGTTTCCACGTATGCCCTAAATATATGATGAAAACAGCCTGTAAATGATGTCTTTGTCTTTGTGTTTAAAATATAGTATTGGTTGTAGGTCCAGAAAATGAAGCCAGTTCTTTAGTAAAATTTAGTGACAGATAGGACTACTGTGTTGTCAAGTCCTGAGACTCATTCATGGCTTCAGCTTTAAAACTCCACTGAACTTTTATCAAACATTGTAATACTCATTAAATTCTTATTTACCAAAAGAAATCAAATCACAAACATTTCTGACACACTGATAAAACTAAAAGAAAATGTGAAATTGAAATGAATTTACCTTGGTACACCGCCCTTGCCATATCTCCAGGAGCCTCAGCTGGGTCAGGCCCCTCACCTTGGGAACCGCTGCTGTAGAAGTACCTCTCATCAAGTCAAAAATGAATATATTAATATTTTTTTAAAAATGGCACAAACACATTAAAACTTTATGTAGACCACAAAATATTGAAAATATTTTATTAAAATATCATCTTCACCTGAAATCATTAAAGCACATTAAAATACGAGCTTTCACAAAGTAGAACTGAAGGGAGTCTTGATGAAGAGGTGGCGGTGATGGTGGTGTCGCTCTAAGAGTCTCAACACGGTCAAATCTAAAAGTGAACCTGCTGAGGAGAAAACACTGGCATTTCCATGGCTGATATTTAAATAGCAAAAAGCACAAAATTCACAAAAGGCTGAGTTTTTTCCATTTTTGGGTTTGTCAGTCCCAGACGCTGCAGCAGTTCCAACACAATCTCCAGGGTTTTTCTTTTTAAGAAACTTTAAAAGTGTCTCCGCTTCTCACAATAAGAGTCCATGTCCCAGAATGCTCTATTGTGCATCGCCTTAATAATAAAGAGATACCTTTTCCGAAGGCTTCTCAAGAGTGTAAACATCTCTCTGTGCTGAGTCTGAGTCTGTGGTACCAACCCTCAGATGTGTCTTGGTCTGCCCTTCTTCATGCGAGCAGCCTTAGGTTTGGGGATGTACTGGTTGTTGGCCTGGTATTCCAGCTCTCTGCTGAAGTACTGGATGGTTTTGTTCAAACCTTCCTCCAGCGGCACCTGTCAAAACACAAAAGCCAGTCTGAAAAATCGCATGTAACTAGGCCACACGTGGTCGAGCCACCTAGTGGAGAACTAACAGCAGTTCATGTCATATCTCTGCACTTTCCATATTCACTATTTAAGAAAAAACTATCAGTTTTTCACATTTGTGTACTCACTTATACTGAGTACTACCACTAACACTTTGGTAGGTTGGGTTTTAATAAATATGCTACAAACTGGACGATCGTGATATATAATTAGCCCCACTCTCAGGGTAATTGGACACCAAGCAGGAAAATGTTTACAATTTAATTCTCCTATCATTTTTAATCCAAGAGGAAACAGATCCTTCAGTATTCATCAATATGTCAAAAAAGAAAACTAAAAAATATTAAAAGAATTAATACAAAATATATTAAACTTTCAGCATAGTTAACATTACCATCAGAACAGAAAGTGAGCAGAGCTTTAACACCAACAGCACCAAACACTGTCTCTGTCCCTGATGTTAAAATGAGACACTGAACAAAGAACACCGGCTGAACAGCTGGTTGTAGTGGAAAGCCGGACTGGAGTATCAGGACTCTGGGCTCAAAGACAGAATACGACAGAGGATAAATTCTCTGATGGAAACAGATTTTTTCCCCTGGTATTTCTGTTGCACTTCTCTGTTCTCAACAGACCTTGGCTTTACCCTTCATCTACTGTACTCATAAATACTGTACTTGTGATGAATACACCTTTGACTGTTACTCCAACAATTGTTAATTCATGAAACATGTCTTTTTCCCCCGTGTTTGTCACACTTACCACCGGCTCCCAGCCCAGCAACATCTTGGCTTTCCTGATGTCTGGTCTCCGTCTCTGTGGGTCGTCCTGAGCCTCTGGCAGGAACTGGATCTGACTCTGACTCACTGGCAATATTAGTCACAAGACCATACGAACAGAAAGAACAGAAATGTTAACTTATATCCAAGAAGTTCACTTCAATAATTCAACAGCACTTCAGCGTATTCTTCTGGAAACAACTTCAAAGGTACTGAAAAGTAAAAACGACACCTCACCGACAAGACTTTTGATGAGACGTGCAAACTCCAGGATGGTGTGTTCCTCTGGGTTCCCCTGCAAACATGATTAGATTAGATTGAACCTTATTGAGCACACACTGGGGGAATTGTTGGGTTCATCAACACAGGGACAAAGACTGTAGACATGTATTACAATGTTAAAATAAAGTAGGAAAATACAACTTGATCTCACCAGATTGACAGGACTGCTGATGTTACTGTTCATCAGTAAAACCAGGCCGTTCACTAAATCACTGAAACACAGACACAGCACAAAGACAGAGAGAGGAACACGTTACTGCTTTGGCTACTAAGACATGGACTACTGTCCACCGTGCACAGCGTAGAAATAATAATAAGAGCATAAGGAAAAAAAATATTTGAATGACTTAATGTTGCCTTGAGGCTGGACTCAGTGACACAGCATGAGGGACATCTAGGGATAATCATGGCGGCTGATCCGGGCTCCTCCAGCATGTTGAAAATTAGCATTAGAGAGTGTGACCATTCAGCTGAAAAATATTCTCTGGACAAATAAGGGGCGTAAAAGCCTATCTGCCAAACAGAGTTGACCGCTGACTTACAAAACTTACAAAAGCAGAAAGACCAAATACAAAAACAGCTTTTGGCAAGTTTGACGTGTTAATGTAGGACGCATCAAAAGAAGTTTTGTTTCGATGTTATGTTGTGCAGAAAAAACGCTAAAAGGATGAGCAGACCAACTGGATTCCAGGAATAATTTGTAATTTTAGTTTAGTTTTTGGGAGTTTTTTCCAGATTAGATTACAGGCTGTGATGATGAAAAATGAGCTGAATGGTAATTTATAGCTAATAAAAAAATACATAATATATGTAGGTGTGATTGATGAGTGGCTGTGAATGTAGTCTGAAGTCATAGTCTGAGCTTTAATTTTAAACAGACCTCTGGGTGGGAGGCGTCCTCAGATGGTTGTTTTTCAACTCCTGGCTGACTTCTTCATGTGAATCGATCAATAAAGATTGAACTCTGCTGCCAGCACCAGGGTGAAGGCTCTGGTTGAAAGTTTCAATGCGTGTAGATGATTGTACTTGTTGTAGTAGTGTATATTTTTGAAGTGATCAAGTAGCTAGAGGATAAACATGTTCCCTGTTGCTGAGTTTTGTCATCCCTGATCTCCACATCATCTGTTTTACTGACCACAAATGTCCGTCCAGTTACTGAGGCCAAAGATCTAAGACAGGGCTGAGTCCTCCTGGTCAGGGAAGCTGCAGTCAGTGTATGCTGCTTCCTCTCTGCAGACGTTAAAAACCCGGCACCTTTTTCCAGTCTTGTTCCTTTGACTTCCCACAGACAGATTAAGAAATTTCCCCACCAAGGTCATGGTTTGGTTAATAGGGTTCAGAAAGACCTTGTCGCCTCCAACAAATTTATAAGTATAGATCCTATGAAGAGCACATGATTTAAAGCAGGCAGATAAACCCAATATTAGAATCAAAAAATTGTAATATGCAGCTTGTGCTACGGGGAAGAGATGCTGCTGCAGATACACACAAACACCTTCCCCTGAACAAAATAAAAACCTTGAATTTTTCACGGATGTGTGAGCAGAGATAATAATTATTCACAAGATGGAACTGTATGTGCATCGTTCACCTCCAGATCTGCCCATATGTCACATTTGCATTTATGTATATGTGCATGTAATTTGTCCATAAATCAGTGGAGGGAACGCAGCAGCACAGACACACCGCTATGACAAACGTATGATAGAGTATGAGCTAATAATGAGGTAAGAAAAATGAAACATTTTCAGACAATAACAATAAATAAATAATGGATCTTAAAATCCATGCGTTGCAAATGAATTTAAGTTTATAAGACAAATAAAACACTGCATTCTTGTGATAATTCTTTTGTAGACCATTTGGCAAATATTAAAAATGACAGATCGATTTTTTTTTAAAGTTTGTAAGTATGTTTTCTCAACATGTTGAGTGCACTGTCATCGTTCATGGTGTGTGAAATTATGCAGAAACAAAATTCTGAGAATATCTCCTTTTTTTAAAAAAAAACCTTGAAACTATCAAAAGGTTGTTTTGTCTTCGACTACAGCAACAAGACAAAATATAGGCAACATCTATCTGTGGAATGTCAAAGTCAACCACGGGTCTGCACAAAACCCTGAGTTAAATCCCGTGGAAACTTGAACTGAGGACCAAGAGATTCACCAAAGAAACAATTCAATGCCAATGTTGACCAAGAAAGACTCAGTCAGTTTTAATCCAAAGTTACTTTGAAATACAGAGACCACCAAGTGTGTTCAGCAGTTTGGTTAACATCTGTCAAAAGACAATGTTCTTCTTACCTCACATACTGGAACGCCCGGGTTTGGGAACCACTACCATAGACCTAAAAGTTGAGGAGAAATACAAACATTATTTTTATTTTGCATATGATCATTCTAACAAAGCTGTTTCTAAAACCACAGGTTTAGTGACATAGGCATAAATAAACACTAAAAACAAATATTAACTATTGTCTTAGGCACTCCATCATAAAATGCTCAGACACATTTGGTCAGATTAAGTGTTTGGACCACATTGAACAGACAGAAGACGACACTAGTCCTTACAGTGAGGGGTTCTCCCTGCAGGGCCTGGAGGATGAAGTTGCTGACGACGCGCCCATCGTTCATGTGCATCCGTGAACCAAAGGTGTTGAAGATTCGAGCCACTCTCACCTCCACTCCTTCCTGTGACCAATTAAAAGAGTGAAATCACTAATCTGGATTAACCTGTGCTCTCATGGTTAATGTTCTTCACACTGTGGGATTTCAGGTTATCTCACAGGAAAATGATCAATGCTGTAAAGGTGGGAATGTTTGTAACAGCGTCACGTGATTTCTGATAGATTTTTAAACCCTGACAATAACTTAGCAGACAGAAAAACAAAACAGATCTTCAAATTCATCACAAAATTGATTACATTGCTATTCACAAAGAGATGAGTCTGTTGAAAAAGATCAAGAACTAAATGATCAATAAAGAAATCAAAGCCACATATTTATACTAATAAACTATTTATGTAACCATTTTTCAGCCATTTAATTCAATAAAAGAGTAAAGGAACCAACAATACAAACAATACACCTTCAACTGCTTTATTTTTATAGATTACATCATTAAATAATCTATGAAAAAATAACACTTTTTTCAGTTATTATCCCTTATTTTCTTTATTGTCATAAGTTAACAAACTTTTGTGATTACACCAGGTGTGGGCAAACTTTTTGACTCGTGGGCCACAACTGGTCCTAAAATTTGGGGCCGGGTCCGGAACAGATAGATGGAGTGTTCGTGTGAACTAAGATAAATGACATGTAAAAGTCATGCATAAAGGCTTTTCTACGTCATTTATAGGGAAAATGTGGGTATTGCAGAAAAAAGGCAAAAATATAATCACAATACAAACCAATTATATAATTTGGACAAGTTTGGCGGGCTGCATCTGGCCCCCGAGCCTTAGTTTGCCCGTGCCTGGATTAGAGCCTTCAGACTGTGATTGCCTACATTACTACCATTTTTATATCCCCTATGTATCTGTCTAAATAATTCATATTTCTGGTTCCAATGGATTATTACTAAAGAACTTTTTCACACATAATGTTCTTAATTGACTGTAGTAGTAACAAGAAATATTGTAGCAACTGGAGCAAAACTAAAGACCCCAATGTGTCAAAAAAATTAATTAGCATCTTATCAGGTTGTCCTCCAGGCAAGTCTGACACTTCACCCCACCAACTCAAACAGACCACATGAGACCATTTACATCACAGGAACACACACTGATCCCACAGATGTGGAAGGAAAACACACTCTACTGGTACATGAACGTGTGCTACTTCAGATTTGCTGCGGACTCTTTCTTGGGTCACGCATGAATAAAAACATGAAAATGACGTAGACTGCTCTCCTCCAGTCGTTGAACATGAATTTAAATGGAGACGAGCAGCAAATGTATTCAGCAGAAGGAAACCCAAGGACACAATAAGGACAACATCGTACAACAACAGAAGCTGGAGAAAAAGCATTCATTTATATGAACAGACATTGCTTTAGTCATTTACACACATTAAAGTCCCATTAAAGTGATGTACTATGTATCCAAAATGTGTACCACGTGTATATCCACTCTGTGTGAATGGGTTCAATTAAGTGGTGTGTTCTATATTCAGACAGCACTCCACAGGACCTTCAGGTAATTTTATTACACTAGAGAGTCCACACACACTCACACAGATGGTGTGTTGTCATTGGGACACACCGTAGGACAGTGGTTATTACATAATACAGCCTGCACTCATTCTCTGTCCAAATCTTTGACCAACATAATTTAATAAAAGAGACGTTTCTGTAAGGGCACGAGCGGCCGTTTAGATGCTGAGGCTGAGAATGAGAGAACTGGTCGACTGGTGCCAGAAGAAACAAGCTGTGTTTACCAGTCTCCAGAAAATATATTTATATATATTTATACATCTGTAAATACTTCTTGGTGAGAATGATGCATGAGGTTTGCTGAGTATGTTACGATTGCAAAAAAAAAAATGGAAGAAAAAGGAGGAGTGTGGCTCTAATGTCTCTCCTGACACAGTGGAAAACCACATGGTCCCTGAGAATAGTAAAATCTTGTTTGTTATTTAGACAGGCGTGGCTGTGGATCAGTGGGTGGAGATGTTTGTTTTTCAACCCGAGAGGAATTCTGGTGTTAGCAGATTCATAATCGAAAGACAACCTCTCACCCCTAGTCTGAACAGTCGCTTCCTCTCCTCAGTATATGACCAGAAACTAGAGGCTTGAGGAAACAAGTAAGATTATCGACGAGAAAAATAAATAAATGAATAAATAAACTGTGCTCTGAGAAAAGAACAGCTGTTATAGGCTAAAGCATTTTGTCAGCTATTGATGTAACATACACCGAGTTTGTTTTCTTTCTGTCTGAGAGGAAAGTACAAATCACTTGTTGTCATCTATCATCACTGTGAACAGACCTAATGAATCCTGATTACACTGATAGGGCAGTAGATGTATTGTGTGATATTTTGGTTCGTCCGCACAAACAACTGACAGCTGGATATTGAAAAGCTGCCACGTCCAAGAATTAGCCCTGAAAGTGTAAAATAAAAATAACCAGCAGCTGGGAAGGAGCAGAAGACGAGGCAGATAAATAAATACCATCTGCCTGAAGAAAAGGCAGGAGAAGTCAATCATCTGTGATTATCAAAGGGCTGGTGTCAATCAAGTCAGAGCAGGGAGAGGGGAATAAAAATCAACCCACGTTATTTCGACGTGGAGGGAAACATAAGGGAATAAGAGATTTAGTACAATTTCCATCAGAATGGAGTGAATACAAACTTGAGGTGAAAGTCCGTAGATGCCAAGATGTAAAAATATAGAAGACAGTTTTGTTGGTGTTCATTAGAAGCACCAAACAGCTCCTTAGGTTCAGTACTTTTCAGTGTCACTTTTTAAACCTCCAGGCTTTTATTAGATCCACTCGAACTAGAGCTGTTCAGATAATCCAACTTTGATTGCATCTTCCAATCAATCCCAATAAAATGTTATTAATAACAGTGTTAAAAGGCAATCTAGGGCCTAAAAGTGAGGCTACTTGCTCAAATAAAAAATAATGCTTCAAATACCTAGGGCCTAAAAGTGAGGCTACTTGCTACTAGCAGTATGGATGTGTTATAAATATTCTACTGTTGAACAGAACTCAAATAAAAAAAAGACAATAACCTGAACCTTATTAAACCAAACCCTGCAGCAAAAATATATGTAAAAAGATTCTTCTCAGTCTCATTCTGTTTTCATGTGTCAGCCCTGAGTGGATGGTTGATGGTACCTGTTTCATGTAGGCGTAACACATGGTCTCTGCTACACGTTTGCCCTCGTCGTAGCAAGCTCGAGGACCGATGGGGTTGACGTGGCCCCAGTACTCCTCGTTCTGTGGGTGCACCTCTGGATCTGGAACACACATATGGGACTTTTATGTTAACTGGACAGATCTGGTTTATTCACAGCACATTTTGGTGTGAGATTGATGGGTTTGTTAGAAATACTTCTTCTTTTATCCTGTGCCTCCACTAACACAGTATCACAGCCCCAGGAGGAGTTTGATAACAAGATCGGTTTCCAACACAGTACGAATCTGAAATGTTTTTCCAACACACTTCCATATTATTTAGAAAAAAAAATCAATAACATTAGAGTGTCATTCATGTCATTAATACTTCAAATATGGGCAATAATAAGATAAATAACAATAATGGCGGTGGGTCCTTCTAATGAAATTTTAAGACCAACCTCAAACCTTTTGAGGGATACAAATTAATAATGCAAAAAATAAATAAATAAAGACAATAACCTGCTAAATACTCTAAATGTGAGGCGTGTTTGCACATGTCTGAAGGTATGAATCATCACGCAATACAAAAGAACCAAGAGGCTTAAAAGCTCTGCTGCTTCGACTGCAATTTTCAACATCACAATGATAACGGCACAAATCAAATAATAATTTTAAAAAAACATGACGCACTTAACTGCATCAGGCATTAGTGAGAGAGAGTGTGTGTGTGTGTGTGTGTGACTATCTGTTGGTGCACCTGGGTGAAAATATAAAACACAAAGGAACCTACAGTCTTCAAAGGTGTTTCATGACGTATATAATATTACATCAGATACAGTCATAGAAAACACAATATCTGGGTAAGGAATCGTGTGTGTGTGTGTGTGTGAGAGAGAGAGAGAGCCTGTATACATATGTCTGTAGATGCACCTATGTGTAATTGTAATACTATACAGCCAGGATCTTTTGCGAGCTGCTGAATTCCTGTTTTTAACTCGATACCTTGCAAACACAGTGGAGATATTAAAGAAAACCATTGCACACTGACAGCTAAATCTGGATAATGTTTAAAAACACACTTCAAGATAAAGACATAACTTATCTTCCTTACCTCCATAAACTTCAGACGTAGAGGCCAGGAGAAGTCTAGCACCTACACGTTTGGCAAGACCTAAGACCAAGACAACAAAAACACAACAGTCTTTACAGGAGAAAAGAGATACTGAACCATGGAAACAAACTGAAATGAAATGTAAATGTAACAAACAGAATAAAGAGGAAGCTGATCCCTGTGGAATGCCTTGGTTCTGATCTGTATCTCAGTAAGAAGTAATGAAGCCATGGAGCCAATGCACCCAAGCTAATACCAGACTAACCTAACCTTTTGTTTCTTTATTGATCACATCCTTTTAACACTGACACAGCTTGAAGAAAAAGATAAGGGTTGACCTGTTTTAGATTCACTAAAACATTCAGGGTCAACTCCTTTCTGAATCCCACAGCTCCTACTGGGACTCCGCTGATAAAGACAGGCCCCGACGTTATCCTGAATGACTCCAATATAAAGTTAGTAAGTCTTTTTTTTTTTCTTGTGATGTCAGTTAAGCTGTCAAGGCAAAAAGAAGCCTTTCTGAACAACATCGTACATTAGAGCTAAGTTGATGTTTGATGCAGTGGTGTCAAACATATGGCTCACAGGGCAAAACCAGTTCAATATTGCCTGCTTGGTGAATTAAAAAAAAGAAATGCACAAACATTTTTCAGTGATGTTTTGTCTATATAAGGATATTTTACAGTATGCTTGTACTTATTTGCATGAAAACAAAAGGGGAAAACATGGACTCATTGTTATTTATAGGTGATTATGTTATGGTTGTACTGGTCCGGCCCACTTGACATCTAATAAGGCTATATGTGGCCCCTGAACATGGAACATGGGTTTGACACCTCTGCTGTACACCAAGGTCCCTTATGTTCTAAACTGAATGTTCTCCTCAGTAATTCAACCTTAGCTATACATGAGTATGACGGTAACACTGTCGAGTGTCACTCAAAGGTAAATAAGGCTGACCCCCACTTGAGTCCTATAATTTGAAAAAAACAGAAACAGTAAGAACGGTGGATACTGTAGCGTTAACACGTGTTACGGTGTTACGGTGTCTCCATAACCCAATTTAATGCCCCTAACATTAATTGGATGGCATTGGTTTGGTTTTTTTTACTTTTACACATTCAAATTTCTAAATTCCATAAAAGTCAAGTCAAATTCCACAAACCCCTCGTTCTCCATTTAACATCAGCTCTCTCTCTCTCTCTCTCTTTTTGATCTGGTAACACTAATAGTCTTTAACTTCTCCCTCTCCATGGGTCTATGACATCATCGTGTGTTGCAACACTTACGCGTTATAATTGATGTCACTGCTGCAGGCCATAATTCTATAATTCATATCATCTACTAGGGAAAAAAAGACCAATCTTTAGGTTTTTCTCTCAAATTCAGTTGTGCAGAACAACAGCTTCTTCTGTGCTTCACGGACCCATGCTGTCCATGTGATCATGACTCATGACAGCAGCCAGATTACAATATCATAGGCTAATCCAGTGGTTAAAGTGGGAGCTGCATGAAGGCCCTCAGGAAATTAGAGGATAATTAAGAAAAAAAAAGCGTATTATTTTTTATTTTGTAAATAACAATTTTTCCTTTGCCGTACAGGCAATAAACTGCTGCAATTGTTGGATTCCCCGGCCAGAAGCAAATGCTTCTTGGGGGTCTTTGGCATGGCAAGTCTTGGGAAGCCTTGGGTTAACCAACTGGTCCATTCCTTTTGATCAATGGGAATTACTCTGTGGTGATCTGTATTGTGTTTTGGCAGACTTCTAAGTGGGACATTCTCTGTTATATAATGTTGTTATTTCATCATCTTTATACTCACTCAAGACAACATTACACGGAGGGTTCTCTCATTTCTTCAGAGATGGTTTTTACAACTGGCAGATTCATGTAACTGGGAAGTCTGGTTAATCTTTTCTCTATATCTTTTCTGAGAGACATTCTCTGCAAATAGCAAAAAACCTAAACCCAATCCCAAATATCTGACTGGACCATACATATATAATGTAGAAGAATAATATAATAATTTGAGATCAAATAAATGTATATATTCTATCTATACCAAATTACTCAGAAAAGCAGATCATTTTAAAAAATGATGTCCTGTTTCCTCTATGGTGAGAACAAAGGGTAGACTTTTGCAGCTGGAATCTAATGTGAGCGATAGAACGAACCAATAAAACCTTAACACATACCTCATTGCTCTTGCATGTGTTATTAAACTCACCCAGCATGTTAAGAGTGCCGATGGTGTTGGTCTTGAGAGTTTTGATAGGATTGTACATGTAGTTGGGAGGAGACGCTGGAGACGCCAGGTGATAGATTTGGTCGACTGTAGTACAAAAAAACAAAAAACAAAACAGGCAGAGAAACCAAGTTATTTCAGCTGAAATCAATGCATTTCAGACCAACTATTTGATTTAACTGTTGGCTTATATATGAAGCTGCTTTATTTCAATTAAATACACACTTCACACTCCCCTAAGTGGCCACTGCAAAGGCATTAGAAAGTAAAAGTACTCATCACTTGATGCATGACCGTAACACTTTTCTGAGCAGCTCTCATCAGCAGTATAAGGTCATCTGTACAATACAGGGTCAATTTTTTTAAATGAATTTATCATTCGGTGCACAATGCATAATTCAAGCTGTGTTTTTCAGGCTCTAGCTACAGTTCTTTAAAAAAACCTGAGCCTCTATCGAGGGGTTTCATCACATCGTGTGCATTGGTCTGACTTGTTAAATGCTAAAAGCTGTAGTATTCAGAAACTACGGCCTTGAATAACTGCCTCCTTAACTGTGAAGGAACCTTGAGGTATTGAAGGGCAGCATAAAATGACAGAAAATTGGAAATTCAAAGAGGAAATGCTGAATTGATAGGCGAGCTAAGTAGAGGAAGAAAAATGTGGCTGTCTCATCTCTGTCAAGAACATAGCCTCGGTATAAAAGAAATGCAGATGTACCTGCATGAGTGGCAAGCCTTTGCTAAAATAAATATATATACAGGTCACGTGCTTCCTTTAATGAATGTCTTTGTAGACCTTCTTTCTACACATCACCTTTTTTTTCTTAACCTTTCAAGCTGTTTTATCTGTCTATTTACATTTGAAGGTGATAAACACCTATTGCAGCCTTGATCTTCTGATTCAGTTCCACCTCATTCCAGCTGAGAAGGCCATGAAGAAAAGGCTACTGATGTCAGAGTATCGTCAAAGTATGCTCGCTTACGTGCTTAGCCTTCTGAAGAGATTTTCTGAAATGTATTTAATCAACACATGAAAAGACCTAATTAATTTAATTTTACAGGACTTGTGTCCAAAAGATAGCAGGTTCAAAAACTACTCTAAAGAGTTATGAAAATCTGAATGGCTGGTAGCATCATGTTGTTGCTGCTAAATGCAGGGAAGCTCTGTGCTTAAATACTATTTCCATTTAAGAAAGCGTGACAGAAAACAGGCATGTGTGTAACTTTTAATCTATTTCTCATTCACTCTCAATTCAGGGTGACACAGAGAGAAACCACTGATCCTGTCTTTGAACTGAACTCAGTGAAGAACTCACCTTCTATATAAAGAGGCTCCACCACATCGTGATTGATGAGCTCAAAGTTTTCGTGACCAATCCAGTGTTCGACATTTCTTTTTCTCCCCGTGAAGAAGTTGTCCACCACCGTTACCTCGTGTCCGTCCATCATCAACTTGTCAGTGAGGTGGGAGCCAACAAAACCAGCTCCTCCAGTAATCTACAACAAAGAACACATACAGACAAATTCATAGTGGCGTTATACGTTAGAAGAAATCAAACTGTAAACTGCTTCTTAGCAAAAGGACAGAGAACAAGGACAGAAGTTTAGGCTTCAGGCAACAAGACAGCAGTTTATTAAGGCTTGTGTCACATTTTTTCCTATTCTGCAAAAACATCTTTAAAGCCCCAGACCATAGTAAAACAAGAATCTGCTTTTAGACCCTGTGAAAACAGCAAGGTCCTCTGAGAATCCATCTTTCCCAAAGAGCAGTTTGTTACTTACCAAAATCCTCTTACGGTCTTTCTCTGACAGAAATTTGACTGGTGGGTATTTCTGGGAAAAACTGGAGAGACAGAAGAAACAAACATAAACCTGAACTCATGTGTTGGACTACTATATATAAATATATGTACTTAGGACATATTTCATTTTACAATCTTTCAGCAGGCCTGTATATTATTACTTAATGAGCCAATGAGGTGTCAAATATTGGAATGTGCTAAATAAACATTCTCTTAATTTTGTATTTGATTATTTCAAACATTAATATTAATCTATGCGAATACAATGCCTTGATTTTAGTGAGGTTAGCATACAGGCTATAAATACAATGGTACTAATAACTGTTTGGGTGTTTCAGTTTTCACTCTAGGTTTCCTAATTTTCACTCAAGTATGGAGAATTACTTTCAAATTGGTCTTTAACATGCGTATAAAAGGATCAGGAAGCAGTAACGAAGACATGCCGTGATGGGCATTAAAAAGATGACATTAACAGCAAGGCCTGTGTCAGTCATAAGTGTAAGGCTGCTTCTTTCTAATAGTTTCTTTATCTAGCCTCTGTGTCTAGGCAGTGGGTTCGACTGAGTGTTTTTCAAAATCCAAAGTGACATTTTACACAACAAACAAGACAGTGACATCTGATTGGCTGCTACAAACATCTAGACTAGCATGACAGATGTCAGGTGTGAACTCAAACACCTTAGGCTGTCTAACAGTGATCTGATCATTTAAGACAGATGTCACACGTGTGTGAACAAATACTTAATCAGGGAAAAAAACTGCGACCCAGCAGACAAGCGTCAAAAACTGTGACCCTTGTCTGCTGGGTGCTAACATTTTTATAAATGAGTCTTTCCTCCTCGTAATAAACATACTGCCTGGTCAAGGTTATTTTAATCATATTCATTTTAAATATGATTTGAAAAGCAGTTTATATCTCTAGTTAAAAACACACACACACACACTAAACTAAACATTGTCTTAACTGTTTCTGTAAACGTTCACATTTTGGATTATTTTCAATTTTATTTTGTGGTCCAGACAGACAGTCAGAGGGGATACTTCATGACAAATTCAATCGTCTGTACTGTTCTACAGCATGTCTGAGTGTAAAGAGAGATCATCAGGTGTTCTTCAAAAAAATGCCAATATTACTTTACTGACCTGAGAACTATTAATTTTATACTGTGAATAATTTCTTTGCTTGTTGTGTGTGTCTTTCCTCTATTCCTAGTAGTTAACGTGTGAGTGAAGTAAAACTAGAACAACTGTCAGTTAAACATCAATCAACAGTGGTTTTAGAAGAATACTGTTCTAATGGCTTGGAAAACATGGAACCAGTTTGTTCAGTCATTTTTCTGATATTCAGTGTGAGAGTGTGTGCGTGTGTGAGTGTCTCTTTGTGACAACACAGATACACACCTTTGTTCAAGATCACGAATTTTTTCTCTGAGAGGAGCCACAGCCTAGAGTGAAAAGAAAAAACAACAAAATGTCAGAAAAGAGGACAAACAACAGTCTCTGACGTCTGATGTTCAAACATCATCATTACCGTGTTTTTCATTTTAACATCTGCAAACGGCACAACCTACGCTTTTCTTTCTACACTCATCTTTTCATCAATTATGTCATACTGGTCATTTAAATATGTCATCTTTGGTCACAGCATCAGCAACACTGGGTTGTTTTTGCCTTTTTTATGATGTGTATACATCTGTTGGCTATTGTGCAGGGCAGAAAAAGAAAAGCGAATTGATGCTGAAAATGTACACAGGTTTCTCACGTTCCTTCATAATTATAAGCTTTGACTTGGCAAAGCCACCTGACATGAGCGACACAAAGACTCCCGTAGATGTACAAACTTGTGAGATGGAGAAATCCTGTCCAACAACAAACGACAAAGCCTTTGAAATAACGAGGGAAATAAAAACACTCATGTTGGTTGATCTCACCTCGTCAATTCGCTGCTCAATCTTCACTTCTCCTTGTTCTTGTATTGATCTGTGAGAGCATAAAGAGGAAAATTAGGAGGTAATATTGATGTTCACAATTACGAGGTCAAAAAAATAGGCCTTCTTGTGTGTCAGAATGATTGTCACCTCTACCAATTGAAAAAAACTCCCATATAAGACTTTTAACAACTAGAGGTCAGAATCAGAAACAGCCATTTAGTAGGAGTGGTGTGTCAGGAATTGTTAAAGATAATCATTGCCCAAAATACACATACTGTCTAAAATAAAACATTTGTTTTGACAGAAACAGTTTTACACATTTTTCTGACAATAATGGTAAGTATATACAGGCACATTTATAAATAAGAATAAGGAAAAAAGTGAAAATTGAGAGAAGGTGGGCAGTTAGGGTTGGCAAGTTATCAGACGGTCAAGACAAGGTACAAGACAAGCACTCCTTGATGATGTCCTGAAATATTAATTTATTACTAAACTAGAAAAAAAACTGCCCGAATGATTATTTTGGATAAAATTAAACAAAACATGTCAGTAAATAGTATAATATCTACTGTACCTTATATTGGTATAAGTTCCCCAGACAGCTGAAAGAGAAAAACTGTCATGAAATCAAGTAAAGAGCACAGATACTCCATTCAAATCAGTTTCTTGAATTAAACTCGAAACAAAACACTCCTGATCTCTACAATGACCTTAAATTATAGGAGAAAAACAAAGTTATCCATCTGCTGATCCCCTTTGTCTTGAGCACTCTGTTTCTCAACTGTCATCGTTCTCTAATTACAGTACATTCTTCAGCCATTACTCTCCAGTGGAATAACAAGCAGACAAAAATCTCCACTCCATATATACAGAATACAGAACAGAAAATCAAATAATATAAAGTAAATAAAATAAATCACTAAAATAAAAATAAACGCAAAAGTACATCTTAAGTACTGTGATGCAGTTGTGGTTGCATATGTAAATCATAATACACATGTCGCTCCTGAGGAGAGCTTGTTCCATCTTGTCATCGTGAGCCACAACACTGACTTCTCAGCAGGTCACATGGTGTCAGACTACTGGGGTAATAGTAGAGCTCATTGGACATTGTCAATTTTAACATTAAAATATACAGTTATACTTACAACTCTTAATTTACCATTAAACGTTCTCACTTCTGAGAATTGGAAATCGATATGAAGGATATTTGTTTAAATCAAACTTTCTTTTTGCTGTCAACAGTGAAAACAGGCTCACATTTCTAACTTTGGTAAATCTGCAATTTATTTTTTTTATTTAAACATATACTAACATCGTAAAACATGTCTGTTTATTTTGACTGCTATTACTGTTGGCATCCCCTTGAGTTCCTGAAAGTGATGCATCTCTTTTACTTCTGCCAAATACAAGGTCCTTTCTAAAGAACCTGAAACTTCTGAAACAGCACCCAGCACTAATGGGTTGTTTTCAAAACGTATTCCTACAGCAGGGTTCAATGTGCAAAGACAAGAAAAGAAATAAGTAATAACATGACAAAACCAACAGTTGAAAAAACAACAGAATATATATGACAGTACAAAGTCTGCTAATGCTCAGTGTTTGTTATGACTTATATGTGAAAGTATGCAAGTACTTACATGCAATGTAGGCGACTAAAGCAAGGACGAAAAGCAGCTTCATCATTCTTCTCTTTATTCCTGATATCAGCCAGACGATCCCCTTCATCATCCAGAGACGAACAAAACACAAGCACTCTCCCCGCACTCTCTCAAGTCTCGCTACAGCATTGTGGCTTCTCACTAGAGATCATGTCTTTGACAGTTGACAGTCGGTTTGCCTTCAATATGCAGGGAACGTTATTGGTGTCGTGAACTTCAGAAAGCAAAGTCACCCACTGTGTGCCTTCAGCTGCAGGGGAGTTCGCAGCCTATGCTACGTCAACAGCCGCAGGGAGAGTTTACGTGGCTAAAGGCGTTCACACAGGTAGCAGAACAGCACCAGGTGGAAAACTCCTTACCGACGTTAAACATTCAAAACAACGTACAAAACTCACCGAGTTGTAATGCTTTAGAAATCAAATATAAAAAAGGCAAACTCATTTGCAGACCAATAAAAACACGCGTCTACCTGAGGTGACGCTGTACACTCAGCGGTTAGCGGTTAGCACTAGCGACTAGCTGCGTCAGCTAACGTGCTACAAAAACAGTCGTTTTATGTCATTCAGAGAGCCTGCTGGACGTCTGCTTCGATGGGGAAAGTGAAAATGTTCCAACAAGGCGCACCTTAAGTTAATCCTTTCGCCGGGGAAACATAACGGAGTTTCATTCCCACTTACGAAACTGCAAACAAGCACATGAGCGATTAACTCCTCACTCGATTTAGTTGCCTGACGTCAAAGACAGAGAGACTCTGTGACGTAGTAGTATTTGCGTTGTCAAAGAAGGTTTTGTTCGGTTACACATTTATTTTATTACAGTGAAAAATCGAAAACATTTTTGAAGGCTATCCAATGCTGCCAAATCTGTATACTTGCTTTACCTCAAAGATATTATTTGCTACTACGTTAGTTCTAAAGATTGCGCTCTTGAATACTTGACAAACTCTAAAATCATTTATGCAAATTATTTTATTCACGAACAAATAATTTGTCTTTTCGATACCTAGAATTGCTCACTTTCTGATGGATCTTAACTCCGTGATTAAATCTATTACTTTGCACTTATAAGCAATTAAACAAGCAACACTTTACTAACTATGAAGGATTTTCAATTATACCTGCCACTCAATCTCAATCGTTCTTATTTTGTATTCTTGCAACGACTTTTTTCACAGTTTATTTTATCCTTTATTCCCTATAAATCCATATTTTGACTTTGTATTTACTTAAACACTTATTTTGTATAGTATTTCGTGTAATTACTGCCGCACTATAGATGCTTATACATGATATTTATTAAATACATTTTCTGTCCTGTGCGTTCAAGATAATAAATATGCTAGACTAGAGGAATCTAAATAGATATCAGTAACATTAAGGGGCAGCATTGCAAAATAATTCTGTCAAAGGTACAAATGTGCAGATGTCCTAAGTGACCTTTGAATGTATAATTATCTGCACATCCCCTTAGAGCATGACATTTATATTAGCAAATTCAAAGAGACAAACATCAAAAACAACATACACACATTCCCTGGACTTCAAGGTAAATGTTTTATTTAATATTAAATTATCTCCCATTGCAGCTGTGTCAACAAAAATTGCTTTTTAAAATTAAATTTGTTTGAGTGTATTAACTGTTTGATTAGAGCAGGAGGGTGTTGGACCAAAACAAACAACGCAGACAGTTGCAATCGTGTTTACAGATCGATATAGGTGAAATTTCCCAGTGTACATTTGCTTAACAAACTAAATAAATGTTGTTGTGTTCTCTTGGCTCTCTTGTGTATTTATACAAAAATTTACAAGACAAACATCACACAGTGTAAAACATCCCTCCAACTGGCGGCATCAGATGGCACAGGGACAAAGGTCCAAATACTAAGTACTTGCTTTCAGTCCTTTATTCCCATCTATCTATCTATCTATCTATCTATCTATCTATCTATCTATCTATCCATCTATCTATCTGTGAATGTTCTCTAGGGTCTTCCTCTAATCCAGTAAATCCACTTAATCCTGCTGTATGAAATATTTCACTTGTTATTTAGTAAATAGTCACAGCTGTCTGTTCTCCTTATGACAACATTCAATGCAATCTGGCATTGTTCTGAAAGCTGAAACATTGGTGGTCATTTGTGTGAAAAGCCACAGACTTTTAAAACCATGCTAAATGTTTCTAACAGATTAAACGCCTTCCATTTTTCACAGACCAGCAACCACCACTGTTGTATGTGCTACGGAGGCCCAGGTGGACACAGTAGTTTCCTGTTGCTCCAATAGTCATGAAACGTCCTACCTCCTTGTCAATGTTTTTATGGGCACTTGAATTAGATAAAAACCACTTTGTCTTTGAATTTGTGCTACAAATCCTCTAAACTTCTCTTCTATGACCAGGTATATCCCCCTTTGAGTGATAACAGCAATTTTAATGATTTACTTTACCTAATTTTGATAGCATTATATTTACTGCAACCATTACCACTCCTGTGATTTAATTCGTCACATTTTACTTCACGTCCAATTGAATTAACATTTATCAATGCTACAGCAAATTCCAGCACATAACACAATCTGCAGGTTTTGGCCTTCCATTAGCTTTGCCACTTTTCTATCGAAGGTCACCCTGGGCTAAAATTAATCCCAGCTGACATTTTAGATTCAGAGTCACTAATTACCCTGCATGTTTTTGGTCCATTTTCTCAGAACTGCCCTATTTCTACCTGATGGTTACCTCGAAATATAGGAGGCAACCGTGGAATGAAATGGACAGAAAAGGTCAGCTGGTCTACCGTGTTTAAAACAAAATACCTCACATTATGATGCAGCAGCAGCAACATTCAGTGCACCTGGATGTAGCTCCTAACTGTAAGAAAACAAACAATAAACATCAAATTAGAAAGTATTTTATGAACTTTGGATCATAGAGCCCACATTGGTTTACAGTGGGATGAAAACTGCTGCACATTTACACATGTGCATCCCCAATTTGAACGTGTTTTTACACCACTTGCATTGTCATGTTGGCTTCTTAGTCAAAATGGGGTCAGGAGCAAAACAGGGTGGGAACCGCTCCATTAGGAAGTTAACCCGTTAGTACAGGGTCATTAGAATGGTCTCCCTTGGGTAGCAACATCTGAAAATAGAGACTATGGGTAATCCCCACACCAAACATATTCTTTTTGTCTCACCACCTCATTTTCTAAGAACCAATGACATCTTTAATGGCCCCACTATTGGCCTTCTGTGCTCCTCCCCAGTGTGAGTCTCCTTCACTCCAGACAAATGAAGAATGGAGGTACTGTTTGTCTCTGTATCCTGGTACTGGGATTGATATCTGCCTCATTACCAGTGTCAGCTGGGATTGGCTCCAGCTCCTTTCACGAGCCTTAATGAAAGACCTGGATGGAGAGTCTCTTTCAGCCAGTCTCTCCAACATGTCTCTCCCTTGCATCATCAACCTACTGTAAAGAAAACATTTCACTGTCAAGCTGACCATCAGAATACAGGGTCTCAGAGCATTCCTAATGTGCTGCAGAGAAAAAAGGACTGACTGATATGTGACGACAACAGCTTTAGGTCTAACTGTCCTTTGATTCCACCAACAATATGTAGTCTCTATGTCAGTGGTACTGCTGACCGCCACCATGTCCTCCCACGCTGTCTTTGAGCACTGAAGGGTCACATACTGCTGCCTTCTGTACTGGAGTGTGTCTCAGGGTATGAGTGAGTGACTTGAGATAATGAAGTCTACTCCTAACAATGCATTATGTAATTAATCCTAATCTGAGACAACTTTTCTATTGCTAACTGGCCTTAAAATATTTATAAACGCTAACTGTGAAAACCACATGGTGATAACAGCCTTTTTTCCTCACCACATGACAGATGTTCTTGTGGCACGTATATCATAAAGGTCATCAAACTGTAATGCCGTAATCAGTACACTGTCAGGAAAAGAATATATTCAACAAAAGAAATAGGGGCATAATTATTGAGCAGACAATGACGCACTGGAAGACCAGTTCACGCCAGGATTATAAAGCATTTCTATATTGTGTCACTATATAAACTGGAAATTCAAGTTGTAGCTATTATAAGTGTTGATATTTTGTTGCTGCATATCCTTTAAAAACAACAAAAGAAACAACAGGCCACATAATGTTTTGTGCTTCCTTAAATGAAAAGACTCATTCAGTGGGTTGTACCGTGAGTCTGAGCTTTGTCCAGTCTCTAAAGGTGACTACACAAAACATCATCTCTGAGCTCCAGCAACCAACAACAAAGCAAATCAATCACTTATCTGGGGCCGATTCAGGAAGAAAGTGCACTCCTGCTGCCTGTTTGTTGTCCCGTGCTATCGTACAGACTCCTTTTGTGAACAGGGATTTTCTTTAGGATGTAAGATAACTGACTTTATTGCTGTGAAACCCCAGAAACAGCAACGAGAACACAACACAATCTGTTGTTAAAAATGTTCAACGCCGACACCTGCAAAAACAAAAAAATAAAAAAATAAAAAAATTCAGATGATACCACCTATAATGAACCATATGTCACGTATACAGTCAGTTTATCTGTTTTTTTCAGTCAACAATGTATTACATATTTACATGGAAGAAGCCTTTCATTCAGACCTGTATCAGGATTGAAAGGGGAAGGTCGCGACCCTCAGGTGGGTCACAGGAGATGTTTTTTTGGGTCGTCTCGCATCATGTTTTCCAGGAGTTTATGAATAATGTCTACTGACTTGGGTCGCAAAGTTTTGTGACTTAAAATATGGATCCCAGAGGACGAACTTAAGACAAGGATCCGAAAGATATAATATTCAGTGAATGACAGGTGATATGCCTGAGGTCAAGGGTGAATGCCAAGACTTACTCAAAAAAAAAAAATTAGATAGACACAGTAAAACGATCTCATCCTGGACTAAGCCCCATAAAATCACACACATGGACACTAAGACGTTATCTGGACTAAGCCCCATAAAATCACACACGGACACTAAGACGTTATTTTCTCTCTCTCGCTCTCTCTTCTCTATAACACACAGAACCGCACACACACACACACACTTGCGCGCACCCTGTGACGTAACGGTTTGCTTCTTTATAAGAAGCTGGAACACCGACGTGTGTTCGTTAAAGCAGCGCGGACCGCGTGTCCTCCATAAAGTACAATGTCTTCTAGAAAGTAGAAACTCGGAGACTACACACACGAGCTCAGCACCAATTAAAACCGTGACGAAATGATTTACATCAAGAAAAACAAAAACACCATAAAAGCTCTATTATCATGCTCTGGTGCGCTGCTCTGAGTTCTGTGATGCCCTTTTCTAAATGGTGACACCTTGCGATCCGTGCGTTTACTTGTACTTAAGTTCCACTTTAAAGGAAAGCTTCCAGCTCGTTAGCTCTGGAGGGATGTGCGCCGTTTCGAACCCAACAACTGCGCTGCAGAACGCGCGTGCCAAAGGAGACACGGCTTGGAGAAAGACTTGGCCAGAAAACTGCCGTCCCTGAACTTCACCGCCTCTTCCTCCACAGCTGAGTCAAAAGTGAAGCCACCGAACGAGCTCAGGCGAATGGATTACAGTATGTTTTCCGGTGAGTATGATCTGAACTACAGCTTGAACCTGAGCGATGATCAGGAGGTCCTGGACGCGCCGCCGGGCACCGCCAAACTCTCTCCCGCGGGCTTCGTGGTGCTGTCCGTGGTGCTGGGCTTCATCATGACTTTCGGCTTCCTC